TTGTCAAAGTTGCGTCAATTCAAATCTGGCATTAGGAACAAAAGAGGTCAACACAACTTCTAAGATATACTAGTTATTTTAATTAATGCAAAAACCTTCAATGGTAAATATGATGTTTCGTATATACGGGCTCCCCGATATGCCTCGCAGGGCACTCAGAGAACTAAATCCATTGTTTCAGATTGTTCTTCAAATACTCTTACAGAGAGAGAGTTCCCACCTCTCTGCTGGCCAATCAGAGTAGACGCTTGAGCGTGGTTTAGACTTACTCAGCCAATCCGTTGGAGCACAGGCTAGTCCCCCGCCTCTTAGCGCATCCCTGTTTCCAGGCATACGTTTATCATAACAACCTGTCATAGTGAGAAGAGCCAGCTCCCTTAGACACCATTCCTACGTCCAAGGATGGTTCACAGATCACAAAGGGGCAGTGTTCGTATCTGTGAGAAATACAAGTCTTATCTCATCCTAGCCCCTAACGTTCCTTACATGAATCACAGCCTGTTATGTGAAACAATTTATATCAGTATAGTACAAACCTATGTTTATCATTAATGCATTCCTTCTAAGCTATTCATCCCATCAATTAGGAGAATAATAAATCCCCCATAACCTCCTCCTCCATGCTTTACGGTGGGAAATACACATGGGGAGATCATCCGTTCACCCACACCGCGTCTCACAAAGACACGGCGGTTGGAACCAAAAATCTCCAATATGGACTCCAGAACAAAGGACAAATTTCCACCTGTCTAATTAATATCCATTGCTCGTGTTTCTTGGCCCAAGCAGGTCTCTTCTTCTTATTGGTGTACTTTAGTAGTGGTTTCTTTACAGCAATTTGACCATAAAGGCCTGATTCACACAGTCCCCACTGAACAGTTGATGTTGAGATGTGTCTGTGACTTGAACTCTGTGAAGCATTTATTTGGGCTGTAATTTCTGAGGCTGGTAACTCTAATGAGCTTATCCACTGCATTAGAGGTAATTCCTGTGGTGGTCCTCATGAGAGCCAGTTTCATCATAGCGCTTGATGTTTTTTGCGACTGCACTTGAATAAACTTTTAAAGTTCTAGAGATTTTCCGTATTGACTGACCTTCATGTCTTAAAGTAATGATGGACTTTCGTTTCTCTTTGCTTATTTGAGCTGTTCTTGCCATAATATGGACTTGGTCTTTTACCATATAGGGCTATCTTCTGTATAGAAAAACCCTTGAATGAGTATGTGTGTCCTAACTTTTGACTGGTACTGTATATATATATATATATATATAACTGGTTTGTATGTATGGGGCTTTAGCTGAGATTGTTCTTTACAGAGTCAAGTATATGTGTCCAGGATCAATTGGAAAGGGAAAGGGGGATACCTAGTCAGTTGCACAAGTGAATACATTCAACTGAAATGTGTCTTCCGCATTTAACCTAATCAGAGACTAGCTGTCTGTAAGGGTTGGTGTGAGGTGTGACCCAGATGCGGTGCAGGATAGACAGTAGGCAGTAGGCAAAGATGGTGAAACAAGGATCTTTACTGGTGGTCCCAAAGCCAGGATACAAAATAAAGGACTTATCACGAAAAATAGAGGAGCAAATTGGTCTAAAAAAACAGGCTGACAGCAAAAATACGAAATACTAACTATGACTGAAAACAACAATGAAACGGGGAGAACACTTCTCAAGTACCTCTACTTCCGTCTCGTGATCAGACACTGATTCGTACTGCTTGACATCAAGAAACTAGCAGAGAAAACTGAGCAAGGGATCACAGGGAAATGAGGGCATAAATACACAGGTTAACAGATAGACACAGGTGACACCAATAGGATGATGATTAGTCCCGACTGTGAGTGAGGAGGTGCCTAAGCTTGTCGGAGGATGACACCTAGTGGGTCGCTCCGGAACTGCGACCTCCTCCTGTAACTGTGCCCCCCCCCCCCCCCCCCCCCCCCGACGAACGGCCCCAGCTGGCGACGGAATGTTGTTATCAGCCCTGGGTCCAGAATGTCCCTCCTGGGCACCCAGGACCGCTCTTCCAGCCCATAACCCTCCCAGTCCACCAGAAATTGGAGACCCCTCCCCACCCACCGGAAGTCCAGGATCCGGTCCACAGTAAAAGCCGGCTGCCCTCCGACGAGGCGCAGCGGGGGAACAGGACGTGGAGGGGGAGCCAGGGGACAGGTGGCAACGGGCTTGAGGAGGGACACATGGAATGTGGGATGCACCAGCATGGTGGGGGGAAGTTGCAGGCGGTAGGCCACTGGGTTGACTCGCCGGACCACTCTGAATGGCCTGACGAACCGGGGGGACAGCTTCCTGGACTCCACATGGAGGGGAAGATCCCACGTGGAGAGCCACACCCTCTGTCCCGGGCGAAAGACCGGGGCTGGCGACGCCTTCGGTTGGCCTGATGTTGAGACCTGACCAAGGCCCACTTAAGCACCGCCCGTACCTGCCTCCAGGTGCGGCGACAGCGACTGATGTGGGCCTGGACAGACGGGACCGCCACCTCCTCCTCTTGCTCGGGGAATAGGGGGGAGTTGGTGCCCGTATTGGCACCGGAAGGGGGACAGGCCGGTGGACATGCAGAGAAGGGTGTTGTGGGCGTACTCCACCCACACCAGTCGCTGACTCCACGTAGCTGGGTTGCTGGAGTGTAGCACCTCAGCACCCCCTCCAGATCCTGGTTGACGCACTCCGTCTGCCCGTTCGACTGGGGATGGAAGCCAGAAGACAAGCTGATGGAAGCGCCGAGGCAGGTGGCGAACGCCTTCCAGAACCTGGAGGCAAACTGAGGGCCCCGATCCGACACCACATCTTGGGGAAGGCCATGGACAACGTGCTGCACCACCAACTTAGCCGTCTCCCGGGCCGACGGGAGTTTGGGAAGAGGAATGAAGTGGGCAGCCTTCGAGAACCGGTCCACAACGACCAGGATGACTGTGTATCCATCAGAGAGGGGTAGGGCGGAAATGAAATCCAGCGAGATGTGGGACCAGGGGTGTTTGGGGCTAGGCAGGGGTCGGAGCAGCCCTGCCGCGGGCTGATGTGAGCTCTTCGTGCACGCGCACACTGGGCAAGCAGCCACGAAGGCGCGCGTATCCCCCTCAGCAGATGGCCACCAGAACCTCCTACGCAGGAACCCCAACGTCCTGGCACCCCTCGGATGGCTGGTGAGGGCGGACGCGTGCGCCCACTGAGGCAGTCGGGAGCGAGCAGCCTTGGGTACGTACATCGTCCCCGATGGACCTCCGCCCGGATCAGGATTCAGCCGTAGCACTGCTCTGACCAGCCTATCAATTCCCCACAAAACTGGGGCAGCAATCAGGGCGTTGGGGACAATGGGGTCGTCCCTCTTAACCAGGTCCATGGGAGAGCGCGTCAAGCCTGGTGGGAGAGCGCGTCAGGCTTGGTGTTCTTCAACCCCAGACGGTATGAGATGGTGAACCGGAACCTGGTGAAGAACAACGCCCACTTGGCCTGGCGCGAGTTGAGCCTCTTGGCCCCCTGAATGTAGGCTAAGTTCTTGTGGTCAGTCCATACGACGAATGGATGGGCGGCCCCCTCTAGTCAATGCCTCCACTCCCCCAGGGCAAGCTTGACCGCTAGCAGCTCACGGTTCCACACGTCGTAATTCCACTCCACCGGGGACAGCCAACGGGAGAACAACGCGCAGGGGTGAGTCTTACCGTCCGTGAGGAACCGCTGAGACAGGATTGCTCCCACCGCAACGTCTGAAGCATTCACCTCCACAATGAACGGCAGGGACGGATCAGGATGCCCGAGGACCGGGACCGAAGTAAAGCGCCGCTTAAGCGCATCAAATGTGTTCCCCACTTCCGGGGTCCAGGAGAAGGAGCGTACGCTCATCTGGGTGAGGGCTGTGAGGAGATATAAAAATTAGCTACCCTAAAAACCATTGTAGTGATGCGGGCTGGGGCCAATCCAGTACCCCGCTGACCTTGGTTGGGTCCATCCGTAAGTCCCCCTGGGTGACAATGACCCAGGTATGGTGCAGGATAGACAGTAGGCATTAGGCAAAGATGGTGAAACAAGGATCTTTACTGGTGGTCCCAAAGCCAGGATACAAAATAACGGACTTATCACAATAAATAAAGGAGGATCAAATTGGTCTCCAAAAACAGGCTGACAGCAAAAATACTAAATACTAACTATGACTGAAAACAACAATGAAACAGGGAGAACACTTCTCAAGTACCTGTACTTCTGTCTTGTGATCAGACACTGATTCGTACTGGTTGACATAAAAAAACTAGCAGAGAAAACTGAGCAAGGGAACACAGGGAAGTGAGGGCATAAATACACAGGGGAACAGATAGACACAGGTGACACCAATAGGATGATGATTAGTCCTGACTGTGAGTGAGGAGGTGCCTAAGTTTGTCAGAGGATGACACCTAGTGGGTCGCTCCTGAACTGCGACCCCCTCCCTCGATAATTATAATGTTATAACTTCTAATAGTAACTGTATCCATTGGTCAAATGGGAGAGAGTGAGGTGGTGGGAGAGAGTGAGCAGTAACTTTCTCTGATTGATTGAGAGATTCAAGGGGCTATCATAATAGTAACATAATAGATGGAAAGCATTGAATATTTAAATTCATGCACTTCGAAATGAATTTTGCAACTTTGACTGCATGGCACTCTCACATCATATGAAGGAATGTGCCTACCTGATTTAGGGGAAACAGTGAACAGTTAGGAGTTGGGGCCAATTTCATCGTAAAACGTTTCCTTGTTGTTAAATACAGTCTGTGAATAAACTTCAAGTGCATAAATTGATGGTTCAGATTACGGGATGCCAAGGTCATATTTTTCCATATTCTGTTCCAGTTAAAGCGTCACAACCACTTTCTATGTGTGTACATAGCCTCTCAGATTTTTTATGTCAAGCCCTAGACTGCGGAGGCGTTAGGCAACGCTTGCTAAAGGAAAGGGATTTCAAAGATTCAGTTTCAAAGCTTGCCTTGTGAATTGGAGGGGGTGCAATGAGCAAAGTAGAATTCTCCAGTTTCAAGCATGTGCTCCAGGTGTGTGGAATTCTGAATTTTTCTATTTCAGTCGAGGGAGGACCTCCAAACACGGAGCCCCATGTTGTAAATGGTCAGCTTTGTGGACTCAGACCTGGCATGGGCTTGGTGTCTATCTGCTGCTGCTGGGCCTCCTTGGTAACCTTCCCTGACTGACTGATCTCTCCCAGTGCACCGCTGGGGGATGAAGTCTCTCTCTCGCATTTTTGCGGTAATGCTGCAATTATTTGGTTGTAATTTTGGGTAGAGCAGACATTTCCATATGTTTTTGTTAGCTGCATGTGCAACATAACTCCACCAGTCCTACCGATGATATCATTTACGAAGATTATACATTTTTTTTTAAATTTCAAAAAATAAAAGGTTTTTTATCAATTAGTATATTTGAGTTTAACCACAATATTTGTTGCATTATTTGTTCTGTAGTTTCTGGAGGATTACATTGAAATTGCAACCAACTTTCTATGGCTTGTTTTAGAAATAGTGATATTTGGGAGATTATTTCCTTTTCAAATAACTGAAAGTGAGTGGTTGTAATCTGAATAAAGGGAAAAAGGCCATTCTTGAACATTGGGTGAGACAATCTTACTAATTTGCTAGCGAACCAGTTCGGATTTAAGTATAACTTTTGTATGACTGAAACTTTAATATTTAATAATTTCTGTCCTCCTAATTCATATTCATTATATAAATAGGCCCGTTTAATTTTGTCTGGCATGCCGTTCCAAATAAAATGGAATATTTTTTTCTCATATAATTTAAAAAACTGTTTGCTAGGCGTAGGCAAGACCATAAGCAAATAGGTAAACTGGGATAAAGAGTTAATCAGGGTGATTTTTCCACAAATTGACAGGTATTTACCTTTCCATGGTAGCAAGATCTTATCTATTTTTGCTAACTTTCTATTAAGATTTATTGGAGTGAGATCATTTATTTCATTTGGGATATGTATTCTGAGTATATCCACATCACCATCATACCATTTTATTGGTAAACTACATGGTAATGTAAAAATTGTATTTTTTAGTGATCCAATACATAATATAGTACATTTATCATAATTTGGTTGTAATCCAGAGAGGTTAGAAAATGTATCTAGATCTTCTATGAGGCTGTGGAGGGATTCAAGTTGTGGATTTAAAAGAAAACATGAATCATCAGCGTACAATTTACATTTTACATTTTAGTCATTTAGCGGACGCTCTTATCCAGAGCGACTTACAGTTAGTGAGTGCATACATTTTTACACCTTTGTTTTTAAGCCCTGGATTTCTAATCCCTTGATATTATTGTTGGATCTGATTTTAATAGCTAACATCTTGATGGCCATATTAAATAGATACGCCGATAGTGGACAACCTTGTTTCACTCCTCTTGACAGTTTAAAACTTTCTGAGAAATAGCCATTATTTACTATTTTACACCTAGGGTTACTAAACACGATTTTAACCCATTTTATAAGAGATTCTCCAAAATTGAAATGCTCCAGGCATTTATATATAAACCCCAGTCGTACTTTATCAAATGCCGTTTCGAAGTCTGCTATGAATAGCAGACCTGGTTTCCCAGATTTTTCATAGTGTTCTATTGTTTCCAGTACTTGCCTTATATTATCTCCAATGTATCTTCCATGTAAAAAACCTGTCTGATTAGAATGAATAATGTCCGACAATACCTTTTTAATTCTATGCACTATACATTTTGCTAGAATTTTTGCATCACAACACTGAAGTGTAAGAAATACAAAATAACTGTCAATCTCCCTCGGCCTGGGGCTCCATGCAAGATCTCACCTCGTGGAGTTGCAATGATCATGAGAACGGTGAGGAATCAGCCCAGAACTACACGGGAGGATATTGCCAATGATATCAAGGCAGCTGGGACCATAGTCACCAAGAAAACAATTGGTAACACACTACACCGTGAATGACTGAAATCCTGCAGCGCCCGCAAGATCCCCCTGCTCAAGAAAGCACATATACAGGGCCGTCTGAAGTTTGCCAATGAACATCTGAATGATTCAGAGGAGAACTGGGTGAAAGTGTTGTGGTCAGATGAGACCAAAATCGAGCTCTTTGGCATCAACTCAACTCGCCGTGTTTGAAGGAGGAGGAATGCTGCCTATGACCCCAAGAACACCATCCCCACCGTCAAACATGGAGGTGGAAACATTATGCTTTGGGGGTGTTTTTCTGCTAAGGGGACAGGCCAACTTCACCACATCAAAGGGACGATGGACGGGGCCATGTACCATCAAATCTTGGGTGAGAACCTCCTTCCCTCAGCCAGGGCATTGAGAATGGGTCGTGGATGGGTATTCCAGCATGACAATGACCCAAAACACACAGCCAAGGCAACAAAGGAGTGGCTCAAGAAGAAGCACATTAAGCTCCTGGAGTGGCCTAGCCAGTCTCCAGACCTTAATCCCATAGAAAATCTGTGGAGGGAGCTGAAGGTTCGAGTTGCCAAACGTCAGCCTTGAAACCTTAATGACTTGGAGAAGATCTGCAAAGAGGAGTGGAACAAAATCACTCCTGAGATGTGTGCAAACCAGGTGGCCAACTACAAGAAACGTCTGACCTCTGTGATTGCCAACAAGGGTTTTGCCACCAAGTACTAAGTCATGTTTTGCAGAGGGGTCAAATACTTATTTCCCTCATTAAAATGCAAATCAATTTATAACATTTTTGACATGCGTTTTTCTGGATTTTTATTGTTGTTATTCTGTCTCTCACTGTTCAAATAAACCTACCATTAAAATTATAGACTGATCATGTCTTTGTCAGTGGGCAAACATACAAAATCAGCAGGGGATCAAATACTTTTTTCCCTCACTGTATGTCGGAAAAAATCAGTTATAAATTCCTCTGTCCTAGTTAAAAACAAGTTATCATCCAATAGGCTTTGATTACATTTCCAATATCCTCGCTCACGTGGAAATTCAGTAAGAGTAATGTATATGCCAATTATATGATGGTCCGCCCGCATTCTGTCCCCTATCAACACTTTTTAAACTTTTGGTGCCAACGAGAATGTAAGAAGAAAGAAGTCAAGACGACTAGCTTGATTGAGTCTCCGCCATGTATATCTCACTAGATCAGGATATTTAAGCCTCCATATATCTACTAGTTCTAATGTATCCATGACATTCACGATTTTCTTAAGAGCATGAGGGTGATTGTTTGTAGTGTGATTTCCTTTACGGTCCATTGAGCTATTTAAAACAGTATTATAATCTCCCACCATAGTAATAGAGTGTTGAATTGCTTGCAGGGTTGATCATTTATTATATATATATTGTCAAAGAAGTGTGGATCATCATTATTTGGTCCGTAAAGGTTAATGAGCCATATCTGTTTATGGTCCAATAACATATTTAAAATAATCCATCTACCTTGCGTATCTGTTCGAAATTACAGTTAATTAATATCATCACCCCTTTTGAGTTTCTTTGCCCGTGGGAGAAGTATATATTGTTCTCCACTAATTCCCCCGCTAAAGCCCCTCCCCATCCCAAGTTGGGCCGTCATCCCAGTGATCGGCATACCACCCCCGTCCCTCCGGATCCCTAGGGCCCAGAGAGGCCAGGACCCATCCATCGAAAACAGCACACAGTGCCACCCACAAAACAGAAGCAGGTCAACCGCCAAAAGCATTTCTAATGCTCTCACCTCAATATCTTGCATATCTTATTTTCCATCATTATCAATCAATATGCGTAATAATGTTGGCAGTTCATGCATAGGATTTTAACCTATAACCCGGATTGCCATTGTATTACATTACATTTTTGACAAGCAATTATTATTTTAGCAAACAATTATTGTGGTTCATCCTATATTCTCCCTAACATCCTTACCCCCTTGCAACAGATGTGGGATAAACACACACGCACATACTCTAACACACTCAACCCCTTTCCTCCACAATCAACCATAAAATCAGATGCTCAACGGTTGTTACATCCCAGAGCCCAACTCAAGAAAGGACCTGATTTACGAATGCATACACGAATGCATATACAGTTACAGCTGTTTGAGAAAGCATGCAAGATTGAGCAAAAATTGACAACAATGTGAGATTTTATTAATCTATTTAATCTATGTCAAGTCCTAGGTGATGGAGATCAGATCCACCCTCTTCACCTGAGACACAAACACTCTGGTCCCCCGTTGTAACCATTTTCCCCAAGCATCTCCGTGCAGTCAGACCATTGATTATTTTGTGCCACCTGGGCCACAATGATAAGCCCCCTCTCCGATTGTCCGAGTGTGACCCCCTCCCCATGGGTTACTGCAGCCAGTGTTGCCAGCACTGCCACTACCTGGGTGGGGGTACCCAACCTGAATCCCCACCGGCTAGGTACAAGGTCGTCAAGGTTCTCATTAGCAGCTTTTAGAATTTCCTTGTATATTATGCTCTACCATCAGGGGGCTCTGGCTTTGTAGGACCAACCCTGCCAGGCAGGCTCAGAATCTTGAGGGGGCGGTGCTGCTCAAGTAGGTCTCTGACTGCATTAATTTTTCTGTTTTGGCTGCATATAGGCAACTCACAGCAGGTCCATAAAACAGATGGGGACTTCTCTTTGGTGTATGGGTCGCTCAGGTGGGTGTCTAGGATATAGGGTTGTGGATCGTTCCATCATGATAGAACAATAAAAAAATATATTAGATGTACACTATATTTTAAAATGTATATCCCTCATCTACACAAAATTGAAAGCTCTCTCTCACAACCCCTGCTCACAGACACACATTGGTTCTGGGATATGCAACCATTTCCTTTCTCACTCACTTAACGCCGCACTTATTCAAACACAAAAACGCACACCACACCTTCCATCACAATTCATCCACACATACCCACATACTGTGCCTTCTATGTCTTCTGTTTGCTATGTTTTTATCTCCACTATGTTGATTGAGTACTTGTGTTCTAATTTAGTTGTATTTGAAGATGTATTATTTTGCTTGTTATCTTTTCTTGTAATACCGTCTTATCCCTTTATAAACTACTATACCTACTATAAATGTGCTTTATTATTACAATCCCTACCATGGCTAGTATTGGGTGTTCTATTATTCGACTCCTCTATTAGAACTTTCAGAATAGCCATGGAGTAGTCTTTGTGTCGCGGAACATTTGGTTGTCAATATACAGTTTATGGACAACAAGAGCAACACGCTTCCCTTTTAATCTATTTTCCTTGAAGATTGGGTACAGAACTTTGCGCCGTTCTGCAATCCCCCTCGGGAACTGATCATTCATGCCTATTTTCGTGCCAGCAAGTCTTTTATCCTTAAAAAAAGCAAATTTGGCAACGATTGGATGCTGTCCTCTTTGTCCGAAACGGTGTACACATTCGAGTTGGATTTTGTCGACAGCCTCGAGTGGAATTTGAAGCGCTGTAAGAAAGAAGTCCTTCACAATTTTTTCTGTAATCTGTCCCCCTTTTTCCTGGAGTACTAGATTTTCTCTCATCGATCTAGTTTGTATGTCTAGTAAGGCTTCTCTCAGAAAGTTGTTCTCCTTTTTAAGTTCCTTAACGTCCGTTTCCATCCTAGTGACTGTCCCTTTTAGTTTTTTTGTATCGCTCTCCATTATCGCAGCTTTTCCGTCACTCATTTCAAGACTCGCCTTCAACTCTTTTACATCATTACTGACCAACTCTAGTATGCCCAGTTTGTCATTTATTGACTTCAACAGGTCGCTTTCCACACTTACCAGTCCCAGTGGTGAAAAGCCTAAATCATCTGTATTAGTCGAGGAGTCGCGCTTTCTCTTGGAGATTGATTCTCCTCGTTTATCTTCCGTCATGTTTGGGTGTTGCGTGTTGTTGTAATATTTGTTTTGCCTTATAATTTGTTTTGTGTTATTATCCAGATTGAATGTTATTACCCTCGAATATATGAAATGTTAACATTTAGTCTAACTTACTGATATTGAATATTATGTTTTTATCTTGAGGTGATTTGTACCGCTGTGTATTCAATACGCCATCTTGTATACCTGCCCTCTACCGGAAGCTTGGTGTCTCCTGGCAGTTCTTGCACTCCTGTAGATCTGCTTTAACCCCCTGGTGTTTGTTTTGTTTCTCTCTTTCCCTGCAGCCTGTCGCTGAGGCTCACTACTGGTATTACATCACAGAGCTGAGTTTCTATTGGTCCCTGCTGTTCTGCGTCTCTGTGGATGTAAAGAGGAAGGTAGGTGTCACTCCTGTAACCTCACACACACTCCTGTCCCCTTACACAAACTCTCCTGTCCCCTCACACACACTACTGTTTTCTCACACACACTACTGTGATTTAGCAGATGCTCTTATCCAGAGCGATTTACAATTAGTGCATTCATCTTAAGATTGCTAGATGAAACAACATCAAAGATGTGAACAAATATGTTTTAATGACACAATGATTAATTGTTATCTAAGAGGAGATATGTTTGTTTCTGTATAAATTAAGACAGACATTCTACCATTCATCAGTGTTCAGTCTATTTAGGGAATCCTGGATTATGGTCCAAAATGGTCAAAAAGCTCAACAACAACAAATGTGGAATATGATTATAGCTAATGGCATGGCGACAAAGTTGAAAACTGTCTCCACACACACACACACACACACACACTCCTGTCTCCATTCACACAGTGATGCAGTCCAAACCGCAGAACAGCCTCAGCTTTCATAGGAAAATCATTACTTTCCCTTCCGGATCACAGATTTCCAGCTTGTTTCCTCAAAGGAACTGCCTGCAGAGGTGGTTGATGTTTTCAATGATAACTACAGTATGAATCTGGACAATGTCCAATGAGGTTTAGTAATTAGACACTAGTCCAGCCCCTCAGGACCCAGATTACCTGATCCCTTCCCCCTCCTCTCCTCAGTCAAATGGGCAACTGAAAGGTCGCTGGTTTGAATCCCCAAGCCAACAAGGTGAAAAAGGAGAGTTGGGGATCTAAAAAAAAACACATTTTCAATTCACACATTAGTATCAATACACACTTGTACATGTGTGAAATAGGAGAAATATAAGCCCCCACCTATTTTTTTTTTTTTTTTTTTACATTTTAGTCATTTAGCAGACGCTCTTATCCAGAGCGACTTACAGTTAGTGAGTGCACATATTTTCATACTGGTCCCCCATGGAATCGAACCCACAACCCTATGATTATTCTCTACCTGTAATCCTTCCACAGATGTTGTCACGTATATATGATTTGTACTGTTTTTTAAATGTATTTTTCTGCATTCTGTACCATTGATAAATCAACCAGTACAGTACACAGCTGAATGATTTACAGCACCAGGAGTGCAGGACTGCTGAAGCCCAGGTTATAGCATCCTCTACAGTTGTGTGGTTTGTGTTTGTTTCCAGGATTTCATCCACCACATCACCACCATTTTCCTCATCGGTTTCTCGTACTGTGCCAACTATGTGCTCGTTGAAACTCTGGTGATGCTAGTTCATGATTCCTCAGACTTCCTCCTGGAGGTAGGAGATCAGTCTCAGCATACAAGTCTCACACAAATCATACAGACACGGGGAACTAAAGGGGGAATCAAATCAAATCAAATCACATTTTGTCGTGCCCTCTTCACGACTGTCTTGGTGTGTTTGGACCATGATAGTTTGTTGGTGATGTGGACACCAAGGAACTTTAAGCTCTCAACCTGTTCCACTACAGCCCCGTCAATGAGAATGGGGGCATGCTCAGTCCTCTTTTTTTTCCTGTAGTCCACAATCATCTCCTTTGTCTTGGTCACGTTGAGGGAGAGGTTGTTATCCTGGCACCACACGGCCAGGTCTCTGAGCTCCTCCCTATAGGCTGTCTCATCGTTGTCTGTGATCAAGCCTACCACTGTTGTGTCGTCGGCAAACTTAATGATGGTGTTGGAGTCGTGCCTGGCCCTGCAGTCATGGGTGAACAGGGAGTACAGGAGGGGACTGAGCACACACCCCTGAGGGGCCCCCGTGTTGAGGATCAGCGTGGCAGATGTGTTGTTACCTACCCTTACCACCTGGGGGCGGCCCGTCAGGAAGTCCAGGATCCAGTTGCAGAGGGAGGTGTTTAGTCCCAGGATCCTTAGCTTAGTGATGAGCTTTGAGGGCACTATGGTGTTGAATGCTGAGCTGTAGTCAATGAATAGCATTCTCACGTAGGTGTCCCTCTTGTCCAGATGGTAAAGGGCAGTGTGGAGTGCAATAGAGATTGCATCATCTGTGGATCTGTTGGGGCGGTATGCAAATTGGAGTGGGTTGAGGGTTTCTGGGATAATGGTGTTGATGTGAGCCATGACCAGCCTTTCAAAGCACTTCATGGCTACAGACGTCAGTGCTACGGGTCGGTAGTCATTTAGGCAGGTTATCTTAGTGTCCTTGGGCACGGGGACTATGGTGGTCCGCTTGAAACATGTTGGTATTACAGACTCAGTCAGGGACATGTTGAAAATGTCGGTGAAGACACTTGCCAGTTGGTCAGCACATGCTCGGAGTACACGTCCTGGTAATCCGTCTGGCCCTGCAGCCTTGTGAATGTTGACCTGCTTAAAAGTCTTACTCACATTGGCTACGGAGAGCGTGATCACATAGTCATCCGGAACAGCTCTCATGCATGCTTCACTGTTGCTTGCCTCGAAGCGAGCATAGAAGTGGTTTAGATCGTCTGGTAGGCTTGTGTCAGTGGGCAGCTCGCGGCTGTGCTTCCCTTTGTAGTCTGTAATAGTTTTCAAGCCCTGCCACATCCGACGAGCGTCAGAGCCGGTGTAGTACGATTCAATCTTAGTCCTGTATTGACTCTTTGCCTGTTTGATGGTTCGTCGGAGGGCATAGCGGGATTTCTTATAAGCGTCCGGGTTAGAGTCCCGCTCCTTGAAAGCGGCAGCTCTACCCTTTAGCGCAGTGCGGATGTTGCCTGTAATCCATGGCTTCTGGTTGGGGTATGTACGTACGGTCACTGTGGGAACGACGTCATCAATGTACTTATTGATGAAGCCAGTGACTGATGTGGTGTACTCCTCAATGCTATCTGAAGAATCCCGGAACATGTTCCAGTCTGTGCTAGCAAAACAGTCCTGTAGCTTAGCACCTGCGTCATCTGACCACTTTTTTATTAACCGAGTCACTGGTGCTTCCTGCTTTAGTTTTTGCTTATAAGCAGGAATCAGGAGGATAGAGTTATGGTCAGATTTGCCAAATGGAGGCGAGGGAGAGCTTTGTATGCGTCTCTGTGTGTGGAGTAAAGGTGGTCTAGAGTTTATTTTCCTCTGGTTGCAAATTTAACATGCTGGTAGAAATGAGGTAGAACGGATTTAAGTTTCCCTGCATTAAAGTCCCCGGCCACTAGGAGCGCTTCCTCTGGATGAGCGTTTTCCTGTTTAGTTATGGCCTTATACAGCTCATTGAGTGCAATGTTAATGCCAGCATTGGTTTGTGGGGGTAAATAGACAGCTATGAAAAATATAGATGAAAACTCTCTTGGTAAATAGTGTGGTCTACAGCTTATCATAAGATACTCTACCTCAGGCGAGCAAAACCTCGAGACTTCCTTAGTATAGGCATAGATGCAATGATTATTCTTATCATACATGTACAGTTGAAGTCGGAAGTTTACATACACTTAGGTTGGAGTCATTAAAACTCGTTTTTCAACCACTCCACAAAGTTCTTGTTAACAAACTATAGTTTTGGGAAGTCATGATGTCATGGCTTTAGAAGCTTCTGATAGGCTAATTGACATAATTTGAGTCAATTGGAGGTGTACCTGTGGATGTATTTCAAGGCCTACCTTCAAACTCAGTGCCTCTTTGCTTGACATCATGGGAAAATCAAAATAAATCAGACAAGACCTCAGAAAAAAAATGGTAGACCTCCACAAGTCTGGTTCATCCTTGGGAGCAATTTCCAAATGCCTGAAGGTACCACGTTCATCTGTACAAACAATAGTATGCAAGTATAAACACCATGGGACCACGCAGCCGTCATACCGCTCAGGAAGGAGACGCTTTCTGTCTCCTAGAGATGAACGTATTTTGGTGCGAAAAATGCAAATCAATCCCAGAACAACAGCAAAGGACCTTGTGAAGATGCTGGAGGAAACAGGTACAAAAGTATCTATATCCACAGTAGTAAAACAAGTCCTATATTGACATAACCTGAAAGGCCGCTCAGCAAGGAAGAAGCCACTGCTCCAAAACCGCCATAAAAAAACCAGACTATGGTTTGTAACTGCACATGGGGACAAAGATCATACTTTTTGGAGAAATGTCCTCTGGTCTGATGAAACAAAAATAGAACTGTTTGGCCATAATGACCATAGTTATGTTTGGAGGAAAAAGGGGGTGCTTGCAAGCCAAAGAACACCATCCCAACTGTGAAGCACGGGGGCGGCAGCATCATGCTGTGGGGGTGCTTTGTTGCAGGAGGGACTGGTGCACTTCACAAAATAGATGGCATCATGAGGAAGGAAAATGATGTGGATATATTGAAGCAACATCTCAAGACATCAGTCAGGAAGTTAAAGCTTGGTCGCAAATGGGTCTTCCAAATGGACAATGACCCCAAGCATACTTCCAAAGTTGTGTCAAAATGGCTTAAAGACAACAAAGTCAAGGTATTGGAGTGGCCATCACAAAGCCCTGACCTCAATCCTATAGAAAATGTGTGGGCAGAACTGAAAAAGCGTGTGCGAGCAAGGAGTCCTACAAACCTGACTCAGTTACACCAGCTCTGTCAGGAGGAATGGGCGAAAATTCACCCAACTTATTGTAGGAAGCTTGTGGAAGGCTCCCGAAACGTTTGACCCAAGTTAAACAATTTAAAGGCAATGCTACCAAATACTAATTGAGTGTATGTAAACTTCTGACCCACTGGGAATGTGATGAAATAAATAAAAGCTGAAATATATCATTCTCTCTACTATTATTCTGACATTTCACATTCTTAAAATAAAGTGGTGATCCTAACTGACCTAAGACTAGGATTAAATGTCAGGAATTGTGAAAAACTGAGTTTACATTTATTTGGCTAAGGTGTATGTAAACTTCCGACTTCAACTGTATGTGGTCAAGCTAATTTGGCAGTACCATTTTCACACACTGTTTTGATGGGTTGTGTGGTTATTTAAGCAAGGTTCTTGGCTAACATGGAGGTCACTGTAAACTTGATTTGAATACAGGGATTGTTTATTCACATAACCTCCTCATATAATTTTGACCGTGAATCACACTATTATCTTCATAGCAATCAAACACATTTAGTTTTAAATAGCAATTTTTTGTGGAAAGTAAAACATGTCTTGGGGGTAAACTTCTCTTACCTCTCCCAAGAGACTTTGAGCTCTGAAATACAACTCCTATCATCACATTTATTCCTAAAACTGTTTTAAAATTAACTCAGTAAAGTCTAGTATTGCCCTGATGTTATCTCACAATAATCATTGTTTTCATCATCTTGGGCCTGATAAAATATGTATGGCTTGTCGTGTGGATCCAGGCATGAAGAATGCCTCCTTTAGAAGCAGTCAATGGGAGACATTGGGTCAGAATGGGACATTGGGTGTCAGGTAGCCTAGCGGTTAAGAGCGTTGGGCCAGTTAGGTTGCTGGTTCGAATCCCCGAGCCGACTAGGTGAAAAATCTGCCGACGTGCCCTTGAGCAAGGCACTTAACCCTAATTACTCATGTAAGTCGCTCTGGATAAGAGTGTAAATAGCTAAAATGTAAATGTGTAATGTATGCTAGAGAAAACAACTACACTTGTCCATCAGAGAGTAGGAACTGGAAGATCATTTAATATGTTAGACAACATCATCACTGTACTGTATATTACTATTTGTTCAACCACTGTGCTATATTAGTAAACCCAGATGATAAGCAATAAGGCCAGAGGGGGTGTGGTATATGGCCAATATACCACGGCTAAGGGCTGTTCTTATGCACGACGCAACGCAGAGTTTAATTACGTTGTTAACCAGTTTATAATAGCAATAAGGCACCTTGGGGGTTTGTGGTATTATGCCAATATACCACGGCTATGGGCTGTTCTTATGCACAACGCAACGCGGAGTGCCTGGATACAGCCCTTAGCCGTGGTATATTGGCCATATACCGAAAGGTGGTGGTTCGACTACCCGAGCCATCATGTGAAATATATGTTGATGTGTCCTTGAGCAACCCTAATTTGCTCCAGTGGTGCCGTACTACTATGGCTGACCCTGTAAAACAACACATTTCACTGCACCTATCCGGTCTATGTGACAATAAAAACATCTTTATCACATAGGGAATGTTTAAAATGCAAGGCTTGAGGATGGATTAATTTACTGTTTTCTATGCCACTACTTCCTGCCTTTCAGAATAGTCCACAACACCCTGGTTGTTCCCTTGGATTTCTTCCAGCCGTTCTTTGGCTACTACTTCTTCAATGCCCTGCTACTTGTGCTGCAAGCTCTGCACATCTTCTGGGCCTGGTTGATCCTACGCATGGTCTACAAGTTTGTCTTCATGGTCAGTAGACTAAAGTCATCCTCATCCACCTTACTGCCTGGTAGTTATTTCATTGGATAACATGATACAGTAGAATAATAGACATGATGCTCACCCTCAGATTATTTGTCAGAAGTAGTTAGATGCTGAATCCTTGTAGTAAAGCCCATAATGAAAGAAATGGAGAGTGACACTATACTTTATCTTCAGTTATTCATTTATTCTCTGTATGGACGTGTTTTGTCTGAAACGTTCATTACACAGCGGACAAAACGTATCCCTACAGAGAATACATGAATAATTGAAGATTATTATTGTGTACAGTCCATTTCTTTCAATATACACCTGAAAGTGTTCCAGAGCACTACCTTTAGGGCATAGTGTTTGAAAGATGTATTGGCATTATCAATAGTTTCTCTGCTGAACCATCTGGTAATTGTCCGTTATTTTGTAGATTTGCAACCTTACCGTGTCACTTAAATATCTCTTTTGTTTTTAGGTGGAGAAAGAGGAGCGTAGCGATGAGGAAAGCGAGCCTGAGGAGGCGGCAGAGGAGGAAGAGGAGACTAGCTGAGAACTGAGTAAGGGCATTCTTAATTTCAAAACTGTCTTTGCTTCCCAACAACTGTGTTCTGAACAACCTAACCAAATCATAGAAATATGAACAGCAGACTGCTCAAAGCCAGAGAGTACCACTCCCTTTTCTCACAAGGTTAAACTTAGAACGTTTTCCTCTCCTTCCACAGTATATGCTGGTAAGATATAATTCATATATAGTGCATTCGGAAAGTATTCAGACCTTTACTTTTTCCACATTTTGTTACGTTACAGCCTTTTTCTAAAATTGATTAAATTGTTTTTTTCCCCTCATCAATCTACACTCAACACCCCATAATGACAAAGCAAAAATAGGTTCAAGTCCGGGCTCTGGCTGGGCCACTCAAGGACATTCAGAGACTTGTCCCGAAGCCACTCCTGCGTTGTCTTGGCTGTGTGCTTAGGGTCATTGTCCTGTTGGAAGGTGAACCTTCACCCCAGTCTGAGGTCCTGAGCACTCTGGAGCAGGTTTTCATCAAGGATCTCTCTGTACTTTGCTCCGTTTATCTTTCCCTCGATCCTGACTAGTCTCCCAGTCCCTGCCGCTGAAAAACATCCCCACAGCATGATGCTGCCACCACCATGCTAGGGATGGTATTGGCTAGGTGATGAGCGGTGCCTGGTTTCCTCCAGACGTGACGCTTGGCATTCTGGCCAAAGAGTTCAATCTTGACGTGACGCTTGGCATTCTGGCCAAAGAGTTCAATCTTGGTTTCATCAGACCAGAGAATCTTGTTTCTCATGGTCTGAGAGGCATTTAGGTGCCTTTTGGCAAACTCCAAGCGGGCTGTCATGTGCCTAGGAAGAGTTTTGGTGGTTCCAAACGTCTTCCATTTAAGAATGATGGAGGCCACTGTGTTCTTGGGGACCTTCAAAGCTGCAGAAACGTTTTGGTACCCTTCTCCAGATCTGTGCCTCGATACAATCCTGTCTCGGAGCTCTATGGACAATTCCTTCAACCTCATGGCTTGGTTTTTGCTCTGACATGCACTGTCAACTGTGGGACCGTGTATAGACAGGTGTGTGCCTTTCCAAATCATGTCCAATCAATTGAACTTACCATAGGTGGACTCCAATTAAGTTGTAGAAACATCTCAAGGATGATCAATGGAAACAGGATGCACTGGAGCTCAATTTCGAGTCTCATAGCAAAGGGTCTGAATACTTATGTAAATAAGATATGTTTTTTATATTTAATACATTTGCTAAAATTTATAAAAACCTGTTTTCGCTTTTGTCACGGATGTCGGGAACAGAGGACCAATGTGCAGCGTTGAATGCAAACATATTTATTTAATCTGAAAGATAACACGAACAAAACAACAAAACGATAACGTGACGTCCTTAGCTCAAACACAACCTACTAGGAACACGGAACAAGATCCCACAAACACTGAGGGAAAACAGACTGTTTAAATATGGTTCCCAATCAGAGACAACCAGCAACAGCTGACACTCGTTGCCTCTGATTGGGAACCACTCTGGCCAACATAGAAATACAAGACCTAGAATGGAAAACAAAGAGCACAAAACATAGACTCTACACACCCTGGCTCAACATAAAAGAGTCCCTAGAGCCAGGGCGTGACAGTACCCCCCCCCAAAGGCGCGGACTCCGACCGCGCCAACAGAACACCACAGGGGAGGGACCGGGTGGGCACTCCGCCTTGGCGGCGGATCCGGCTCTGGGCATGATCCCCACTCCCTCTCTAACCCCCCACAGTACCCCTGGTCCGGTCTGGCCCTGCTGGCCGGAGCTGGACTGAACACTGGTGGAGCGGATTGCTCTAGCTCCGACGTGGAGCAGCTGACCGGTACCGGACCAGGCACCGGTGGAACAGGAACAGGCCGAGCCGGGCTGACGAAGCGCACCACTGACTTGGTGCGGGGAGCAGGAACAGGCCGGACCGGGCTGGCGACGCGCACCATAGGCTTGGTGCGGGGAGCAGGAACAGGCCGGGCCGGACTGGCGACGCGCACCATAGGCTTGGTGCGTGGAGCAGGAACAGGCCGGGCCGGGCTGGCGACGCGCACCATAGGCTCGGTGCGGGGAGCAGGAACAGGCCGGACCGGGCTGACGACACGCACCACAGGCTCGATGCGAGGAACAGGAACAGGCCGGACCGTACTGGGGACACACACCACTGGCCCTATGCAGGGATCAGGAACGGGCCGGACCGGACTGGTAACACACCCCAGTACCTCTCGCCGTGCCTCAACACCCTTTTCTCATTCTGACTGACCACCGTAACCTGGAGTACATTCGGGCAGCTAGGAGACTGAATCCTCGCCAGGCTCGGTGGACTATGTTTCTAGCCCGGTTCGTGTTTAAGATCACTTACATCCCTGGGTCCCAGAACGGGAAGGCAGATGCCCTGTCTCGGCGGTATGACACGGAGGAGAGGTCCGTTGAGCCCACTCCCATACTACCTAAGTCTTGTCTGGTTGCACCGGTGGTATGGGAGGTCGATACGGAAATCGAGCGGGCATTACGCACCGACCCTAGCCCTCCACAGTGTCCGGTGGGTCGGACGTACGTCCCGCTCGAGGTCCGGGATTGGCTCATTTATTGGGCTCACACGTCACCCTCCTCTGGGCATCCAGGTATTGACAGTGCACTGCCTTAGCACAAAATACTGGTGGCCAACGTTAGCCAGGGATGTGAGGATTTTATGTCTCCTCCTGCTCGGTGTGTGCCCAGTGTAAGGCGCCCAGACACTTGCCCAGGGGTAAGTTACAACCCCTGCCCGTTCCACAACGACCCTGGTCTATTACAGACCTTCCCTCCTCACAGGGGAATACCACCATCCTGGTCGTTGTGGATCGGTTCTCGAAGGCCTGTCGTCTCCTTCCCATGCCGGGTCTTCCTACTGCCCTACAGACCGCTGAGGCTCTATTTACCCACGTCTTCCGGCATTACGGGGTACCCGAGGATATAGTGTCTGATCGAGGCCCCCAGTTTACCTCCAGAGTCTGGAGAGCGTTTATGGAACGGTTGGGGGTTTCGGTGAGCCTTACCTCGGGTTACCACCCGGAGAGTAATGGGCAGGTCGAACGTGTCAACCAGGATGTGGGTAGGTTTCTGAGGTCATATTGCCAGGGCCGGCCGGAGGAGTGGGCGAGATATGTTCCCTGGGCCGAGATGGCACAGAACTCTCTCCGCCACTCCTCCACTAAACTAACCCCTTTCCAGTGTGTGTTAGGGTACCAGCCGGTTCTGGCACCTTGGCATGAGAGCCAGATCGAGGCCCCTGCGGTGGATGAGTGGGTGCGGCGCTCGGAGGAGACGTGGAACGCTGCACACATCCATCTGCAGCGAGCCATCCGTCGACAGAAGACGAGCGCCGATCTCCACCGCAGTGAGGGGCCAGTGTACGCACCTGGAGATCGAGTCTGGCTCTCAACCAGAAACCTGCCCCTCCGCCTGCCCTGCCGGAAGCTGGGTCGGCGGTTTGTGGGGCCTTTTAAAGTCCTGAGGAGATTGAACGAGGTGTGTTACAGGTTACAACTGCCCATTGATTACAAGAATATTAACCCCTCGTTCCATGTGTCTCTCCTCAGGCCGGTGGTAGCTGGTCCACTCCAGGACTATGAGATAGAAGAGACTCCTCCGCCCCCGTTGGACATCGAGGGGGCTCCGGCGTACACTGTTCGGTCCATCCTAGATTCGAGACGCCGGATGGGGGGTCTCCAATATCTCGTGGAGTGGGAGGGGTACGGCCCGGAGAAGCGGTGCTGGGTGCCGAGGAGGGACATCCTAGACCCGTCTCTTCTGACCGAGTTCCATCGTGGTCATCCTACGCGCCCTGCTCCGCGTCCTCCTGGTCGTCCCCGAGGCCGGGGTCGGCGGACGGCTGGAGCCGCGCGTCAAGGGGGGGGGTACTGTCACGGTTTCGGCCGAGGCTGCTCCTTCTCCTTGTTCGGGCAGGCTTCGGCGGTCGTCGTCTCCGGAGTACTAGCTGCCACCGTTCTATGTTTCTATGTTTGATTGGTTTTGTCTGTTTGTTACACCTGTTCATTGTTAAGTGTTCATTATGCGTCCTATTTAGTTCTCTTGTGTTTGGTCAGGTGTTGTGTGTAATTGTTCGATGTCACGTGTAGTAGTTGGTTCGCTGTTCTGTGCTCTCTGTATTTCGTTTTGTTTGAGAGAGTCCTGCACGTTGTGCGCATTTACTTTGGTTCTTACCAGTGTGCGTATGTTTCGCCTGTGGCCTGTTGCCGTGTTTGGCTTGTATTTTCGGACTTCACTAAAGACATCTGTTTCGAATCTCTGTGTGTCCTGCGTGTGATTCCACGTTACCTCTACACTCAACCCTGACAGCTTTGTCATTACGGGGTATTGCATGTAGATTGATGAGGAAACAAATTAATGTAATCAATTTTAGAATAAGGCTGTAACATAACAAAATGTGGAAAAGTCAAAGGGTCTGAATACTTTCCGAATGCACTGTATATTGCCAACACAGTCCATTTATGATTTCATTTACGGTTTCAGATAATACTTAACTTCACTGCGATTGGAGTACATTACTGTACTGTCAAAATAATGGTCTGGCCAAACAACAAGAACACTGGTTTTACTTTTAGATCAAGTTTGTTTATTTATTTTAGATTTATAATGTATTTGTTTTTGTTTTAGATTGTGTGTAAATAATGAAAGACATAGGATACTCAGTCTCTGGCCCAGTCAGTCTCTGGCCCAGTCAAAGTGTTACAAGTGTCACAATTCCTCCCTGGATAATTCCTCCCTGGATTAAAATGTTTATGAAAAATGACTGAATCAGGATTATAAAAGAAACAACCAAGTAATCAATGGCCTTCTTATTCGTTATATGAACAACTGTGACACTAATAACACAAGTATGATAATAGAATTTGGAAGAAATTATACATTTATTAAACAATTAGCTTTTTATTAAATTAAGGATATCACAGGCAACATTTCTAGAATGAAATGTGCAGTTACTGTAGCTTTGTGATTTTAGCTGATTTATCAGACAATTTATACAAACTTCCCAAACATGCTCATTTTTGTCATCAATTCCTCATATTGGCCATATTCCTTTTTAGAATGGTGAAAGCGCCCTCTAGTGAAGAAAATTAGAACATGCCTATTTGTTATGGAGCAGCGTCATGACCAGGTATTTAACATTTTATAAGAGCAGCCATGGGAAAAAAATATTTATGTTTTTTCTATAAATGTATTATATCAATATCTTTGTGACAACAGAGAGGAGTTTGCAGCATGTTTCTCCTCAAGGTGTTTTACTCTGTGCTACTGAACTTTGTTATTTTGTGCCTTGGCCGCTACCTTTACACTGTCTGTCACAAGCACTTGTTATGAAATATGACAATGTTTTAGATTCTGTCTAAATCTATAACTGGAATAATGTCTGAATCGTTACAAGTTTACTACTCATATAGTTTACAGGAGCTTTTGCAAAAATGCGATGTCATTAGATTGACGTGACAAAACGTTCAAGCACTAAAAACATTATACTACCGTGCTGTGAAAAGATGGGGGTTTGGAATGACTTGTATTCCTCTTTTGCCCAGAGATGTGTCAATCACGATCACCTCTATCGTCTCACACTGGAATACCAGATCTGTATGAGCTTGTCATGCAATGACAATGATAATCAGATTAGTTGACTAAAGCACATACAGATCTGGGACCAGAGTAGGAACACACTTCTTTGAGACTGACTATGTTGTTACCAGGGTCTATGTGTACCTCACTCTCTGTTAATGCTGCTTTTCGACTGTAACACCAGTGTTACACTAGTGTATACAACCTTATGTTATACTAGGGAAATAGTGTTTCCATAGCTATGGCTGACAGTGAGGACTTGTGAAGAGCAGAATCAACATCTCTGCATAATAAAGTTGCTTTGTGAGAAGGTGCTTATGTTCACAGTTAGTCATGGTTACTGTATGTAAATACAAGCAATATCATTTCTGGGTAACAATTAAGTACCTTAATGTGATTGTTTTCGATTAAATGATCAAAAACATACAAAAATATATTCTTAGCAAAGAGCAATTTCTAAAGCAAGAATTTAGCTAGGACTATCTGGGAGTGGTCTGAGTTGGAAGGGGAAAAACTGAAAACTAGCTGTTATTGGCAGAGAGGTTTAGAACTCGCTTTCTTATTGGTCTATTAACTGTGAAATTGTGAAAATGATGATAATGCCCTTTTAGTGTAAGAGCTGTTTGAAAAGGCTGCCTGAAATGTTTGCCTGTTTTGGTGGGATTAATTTTTGGCCTGCCTGCCTGTGATGTCACCAGGCAGGCCAAAACTCCACCCCAATAGAACAGGCAAACATTTCAGGTGGTCTTTTCAAACAGCTCTTACACTAAAATGTACTGTATATATAAAACACGGGGAAAATCATGATTACTGGATGTTTATTTTATTAAAAGTTATTCTAGTGCAACAATAGAAATGGCAATAACACGACTAGTCTTGTTCTGAATGCACACACCTCATAAGTTTGTTCACTCTGTGGCCAGTTCAACACAATCAATAAATAACTTTTATCAAACTATTGATAAATGTGTTTGTACCTTTTCATTCAAAAGCTAAATCAATAGCTGATAAGTGTCTGACCATTTCAATACAATATCTCTTATTTTGGGGTGAGGGAGTTGGTGAGAAGGATGTGAACTGCTAAATGTTTACTGGTAACTCACTAGTGTCATGTGACTATGCGCATGGTGATACAGCCACGGAGAGGCACAGGACAGGGTATGGCATTGTCTATTTCCATGCAGGTGTCGATGTAAGGATCCATCAGTACCATGTTTGGGAATGCTTTGTTCATCTTTCGCTCGCTCAGCAGGTAGATCTGCCCATTGACTGTGGTGCAGCCACCAAAGAACTTTCTGTCCAGACATTCTTCTTCTAGAACTGTCCATTCATCTGTCTCCACATCTAGCCGCAATGCCTGACCTCCCAGGAGATAGAGGGCTCCGTTGAGCACTGTTGCAAGAAGGTCATACCTACGGGACATAAATATCTATTTTTATAAGGAACCTGCCCCAGACAAACGTCTGTTGATGCAACCTAGCTAGTTCCATGACTTTCAACCTAGCAGAACTAGTGCAAGCTCTGAGTTCACTTACCTGGGCAGAGGGGAGTAGGTGACCACGTCCCATTGGTCCTCCTTCACCAGGTACCTCTGAATGCCGCTGTACACCTCCCCATTCTCATCCAGTCCACAGGCGACATAGATACACCCACCCAGAGTGACTGTGGCAGCCCTATCCACAGCCCGCACCATGGGGCTGACCTCCTCCCAGCCCTGTGCTCCCAGCAGCAGCTTCTCCACGTGGGCCACAGGCCCCTCGTCCATGCTGCCCCCCAGGACATACAGCTCCTGCCCCAGGCCCACAGAGCAGTGGCTGTGCCTGGACTTCTGCAGCGGAGGGCCATCCACCCAACGCTCATTCCCACACTGGAACATCCGCACCCAGTCCACGCTGTACCAAAAGATCTCATCACGGAAGTTACCTCCGGTGACTACAATGTTTTCTTCTGGGAGAGTAAGAAACAAGAGATTGACATAAATGACTTGAATTATGACTCCTATGGCTTATTCAAGTATACATCCTCCCGATAGCATGTTGATAGTAAGTTCATGCATCACTTTAGCTGACTTAATTTACTCAGAATAAGAAAGGGTGTTTAACTTCAGAAAGGGAGTCAAATTGTCAAATCGTTACCTACTGCTGCCACAGAGTACTGGGTGAGATTCTTCCTCTGAAGTGGTGCATGGGACTGCCATCTCCCACTGTGGGGGTAAAACTGGTAGAGAGACTGTTTGTCCTGGTCATGGGGCCCTCCGAGTATGTACAGTGTCTCTCTGGCCCGAGTCCGAGGTACGGACCTGCCCATAGACCAGCTAGTAGGAAAATTGTCATTCAGTTTACAGATGAGTTTGGCTCGTGGGTCGGACCCTTTGAGCCTGGTGAGCAGATCAGTGATGTAGGGCAGAGACAGGCTCTCTGGTTGCACCAGTTCCACCAACTCCATGAAGTCCTCCTCCCGACTGGGGTCAAAGGTTGCCCAGCGTAAGGTCATCTCCAAGGCTTGATCCTCCCTGGGTACAAACAGTTTATCACTGGCAAGGAGGTCTGCCACACTCTCCTTGGACAGGTACATGAAGTCCTCCTCTGTGGCGATAGCAGGTAAGTGGGTTAGAGCCACCTCACGTGCTGCTGTGTAGAGCTCCCGGCATCCCAGCTGCCAAGCGTAGGCCATCATGCCCAAGCAGTTGCTCAGATGCAGCTCTCTCTCCAGGAACTTGCAGCATAGGAGCCTGGGTCTCTCCAGCTGGAGGAAGTCTGCTGTCTCTAGGATCCTCAGGACATTCTCTCTGCTGAGAGACAGCTTGGATGTCTTGGTGTATTCCATCAGGACACGAAACTGGTCCACACCCACACCTTTGATCTCAACGTGGCGCTTGCCACTCTCTCTGCCACCGCCATAGAAAAGTGCACGGAAATAGGGGCTCTGAAGAGCCAGCTGTTGACGGTTCACAAAGAAGGATTCTGTCTCTACGTGAAGAACTGTGTCAGGTATCATCACATTTATCTCAGCCTCCTCGTCGGCACTGTCGTTATCGGGGCATAACACAGGAGAAGGTGTTGCTCTTAAAGTATACGGCACCAGCTCTTGATTTCTCCTGGCCATGTCACAACAGCCACGGTCCTCCCCTCGTCTTACTTTCTCTGGTGCGACCTTTCTCTGGTTCTCTGTTGGCTACCAATGGAGAAATTAGGTCAGGTCAGCTTGCAAAACACAAGCTAAATATAACTAGGGCCTATGTGCCAACCAGACAGCAGGCATACCCAACTATTTGTTGTGGGTGAAAAGGGTTTGTAAAGACCCATGTAATAACATTGAATTATAACATTGGCTCCTTGATAATTTGCAGACCTATGTGTTAAATAGAGAATTGTATTTTTGTAGCCATTTTTTTATTTGTTCATCTTGTTTGAATGAAGAAAAAATAATAATTTAGCTAAGTTCCATACATTTTGGAAAGGGTTTAACTTTTAAATATTTTCGTTATTCAGACTAGCTAACCACCTAGCAGCACTGCAAGTCCTGGCTATCATGGCTAGCTAGCTAGCTACCCTTGCACCTATCGTGTTTCTAGCTCTGCTCCATGGCGTTTCGTGTGGCTTGAGTCTGCTTTAACACCCTGCATCTTTTCAATTTGTTTAGTCACTTCCATCAATATACTTACGTTACTCACCAAAATAAAATATGTTCAAGTTCTGACGAAATTATATGCAATGCGCGAGCATGCCCGTCTGACTAGCTCTGGACCACGGGCATGCGTCGGATATTCACTACGAGCTGCATGCACATTCGACGCATGCGCATGGACGAGAGCTAGTCTGACCGCAACCAAGGTGCTCGAAAGTAGTTTATTTCGTATTTTGGACAAATGACAGCTTGCTCATACAGAAAAAAGTTTGTCAGCACTACTGCAACACTTTTATGTTTGCGATTAACAAAAGTATATTAAAGCCAGTCAGTAAACAAAATGTTACACATTTCCTCTATGGAGGGTAGCCATGTAAACTTGAACCTCAGCTGCATATCTAATATGCTGTTTACTAACTGTAATCAAGATATTTTTGACTAACCTTTACTTGGCGACACTTTCTTTGTTCTCGAATTCGGAAGGGGCCGGTGTCTTATAAACCTCTACGTCCAGTTACAGGTGGAACTCCGATAATGAGGAAATATTCAGAAAGATATGAAATCCACGTTTTGTACAGAGTGAGAAATGGCATCGTGTACATGTGTAAATGTTTGTTTTGTTTTCGGTAGCTCTGTGCTGTAGTCTTCTTCTGCATGTGACCGTGGCGCACCTCGATCAAACCTACAGAGAATTTGCGTTTTGGTACATCAGAAGTATATTAAAATGCAATGGAACGCCGCGTTTGCCTTGCAGCGGTAGTTGCAATGCGTTCTGTGTGGTGCAAACGTTGGATAAATTGAACGTATGTGTAGACGGCTTGACAGAAATGATAGCAGAAGGTGTGTTGAACTTTTCTTGCATACATATCCAGATGAGGTTGAGAACCATTTTACGCAAACAAACTGTCGGTGTGATCGAGGTGTTAGAAATGACCAGTTCGTGCAGATGGCAAATGCCAGATCTCCGGCAGCTAAGGTGGCGAGGAACCTCCTCATGTGGTGCAAAAAGTGGATGAAATATTTTTCAGAATATTCTCTGGTTTTTGGAGTTCCACCTGCAACTGGCCACAGAGGTTTATAAGACACCGGTGCATTCCGAATCGAGAATGAGGAAAGTATCGCCAAGTAAACGGTGGTCAAAAATGTGCTGATTACAGCTAAACAGGAGCTATCACAAGCAAATTAAATTAATTCGCTAATGATAAATCGTTTGATTTGATATCAATTATATTAATCGAAATATGCAGGGCATTGAGGTCGAGGCTCAAGCCACACATAACGCCCTGGACCAGAGCTAGCATGTTTCCAATCCCCACATGACACATTGTCGATTCATTATTTATTTCCTCTGCAGGATAAAGATAAGAAGAAGCAAGAAAGTATATTTGACCTTTCAAAATATATAGACAAACCAATCTGAGTGAAATTTCAAGGAGGACGAGAAGGTAATTGTCTAGCTAGTAACTAAGCAGCTATTTTGAACTAGGACTGGTCATTCATTGTTTTGACAGTCAATGCACCTCAATTCCAAACACTAATTGTATTCACAGCCAGTGGTGTCCTGAAAGGTTTGATCCTTTGTTGAACCTGGTGTTGGATTGAACAGTTGAATACATGCGTGGTAAGGGATACAAAGTCATCTGATAAAATCAATTGCATATATTCATGTCCTCCCGCCTCCTTTCTCAAAACCCATTGGAGGAAAAGGTCAGAGAGGCGGAACCTCTGGCTTTCTCATCCAATGGGTTTTGAGAAGGAGAGGAGAGGAAATGTGAGGACTATGCAATTGAGATTCTCCCTATGTGATGATGTTTATACTGATGAAATATTTCCCACAGCACCCTGATGAGGACTTTACTGACAAAATAGCAGTTTCTGTGAAATGCATTCTATTGAACTTCCATTTTGTTCCAAGAGAGTGGCTGATTTATCATGTTCTTCTCCCTCCCCAGACCCAGATGACCAGTTCAAGCTGACAGAGGACACAAGACAGCTGGGCCTAGCAGTGTGCAGAGGGACCTCGTGGTGCTCATCTGCCCTCAGGATAGCATGGAGGCCATTCCTAACCCCTTTTTACAGCAGCAGGAGGGCTAGCCGGTAGCAGCACCTCCACCACCTCTTTCCTATAACTCTCAGCGGCTGCATCTCAATAGTCTACATTGGCTTCCTCTCCTTGTCTTCTCCCCTTTATCTACACTGTTCCGAAAAGACAGGATCGGTGAAAGCAGTATGACGGATGACTACTAGAAATGTTTCTTGCATTTGTCCAGCTATTCTACGTTAGTTCAGATGAGGAAATGCAGACATGGAGAGGAAGCCACTTCAGACTATATGGGAAGATCTCAATTGCAAACTCCTCGCATCCTTTTTCCTCGTTTCCTTCTCAAAACCCATTGGATGAGAAAGCCAGAGGTCCCTCCCCTCTGACCTTCTCTTCCAATGGGTTTTGAGGAGACGAGTATGCAATTGAAATATTCCCTTTGAGGTGCACCCACCTACAGAACTCGGGAAACAGTGAACAGTTAATGAGGTCAGTCAACTATCATGGAACATTCCGGACCAGAGAGTAATAATGTACATACAAAAATGTGAATCTCAGATCATGTGGATAAAAATAAATAAAAAAACGGGATTTTTGTTTCTGTTTGAGTTGTGCCACACAGGCCTATCTGTTAATGGGCCGGAGCTGTATAAACAGTTGCGCACTACAGTTGTAGTTCTGATCTTAAAAAATTAGCACTTACGTGTTTAACTTAATTTTCTACAGTTAGTTGTTTTTAAGAAAGTAAAATAGAAAATTCATATCTCTCCCTTTGTTCTCTGTCTCCAGTGCCAAGTGTGACTCTCAGGGTGCACTGCAGTACTAGAAAAGTGAAATGGAGGATTTTCTTTACAGACAAATTGTTTGGGCATTGTTCTAGGTACACCCAGCTAGTTGTTAGTACTCTTTGAAGGACTAGATGGCAGTATTTCTCATTTCAACCACATTTGTGTATTCAAAAGAAGGCTGAGGCTAAGAATACAGAGTTTTCACCCTCTGGAAACTTCTTTCTCAAAACTAAGGATCCAAATCACGCATGTTATTTTGCACACACGTTCAAGTTTTTCTCTTTACTCTATGCTTTTCTCACCCTCTTCTGAACCCTCAACCACTTTGATCGACATGATGATGTAGCGTATGTCTCTGCCTCATATTTCTGAACAGCTGAAATAAAAACTTGGCCGCGATTTGAAAGAACATTCCAAAAATAATACACTACCAGTCAAAAGTTTGGACACATCTACTCATTCAAGGGTTTTTCTTTCTTTCTTTTTTACTATTTTTTACATTGTAGAATAATAGTGAAGACATCAAAACTATGAAATAACACATATGGAATCATGTAGTAAACAAAAAAGTGTTAAACAAATCAAAATATATGTTATATTTGAGATTCTTCAAATAGCCACCCTTTGCCTTGATGACAGCCTTGCACACTCTTGGCATTCTCTCAACCAGCTTCATGAGGTAGTCACCTGTAATAAATTTAAATCAACAGGTGTGCCTTCTTAAAAGTTAATTTGTGGAATTTCTTTCCTTCTTAATGCGTTTGAGCCAATCAGTTGTGTTGTGACAAGGTAGGAGGGTATACAGAAGATAGCCCTATTTGGTAAAAGACCAAGTCCATATTATGGCAAGAACAGCTCAAATAAGCAAAGAGAAACGACAGTCCATCATTACTTTAAGACATGAAGGTCAGTCAATCTGGAAAATTTTAAGAACTTTGAAAGTTTCTTCAAGTGCAGTCTCAAAAACCATCAAGCGTTATGATATATTTTGATTTGTTTAACACTTTTTTGGTTACTACATGACTCCATATGTGTTATTTCATAGTTTTGATCTCTTCACTATTATTCTACAATGTAGAAAATAGTAAAAATATTTTAAAAAAACCTGGAATGAGTAGGTGTGTCCAAACTTTTGACTGGTACTGTATATTATAAAGGCTGTCTGTTGTAACGGATATTGCTGTAGCACAAGCAAAACTGTCTACACATTGCACTGTGGCAAAACTATCAGCATTTTGTGTGATGATGTAATCATTATAGTTATGCTGCCATATATCCAGAGAACTCTGCCTCCCAACAGCCAATGTTTGCGCATTAAATCGCTATTGACTGCCTGTCTGTGTCTTGCTTGTTGATATGCTGCATACATATAGCTTGCCTGAATAGCTGCATGTAGTCTAACTTCTCTCCTAAAAAAATAAAATGAAATTAGTAGACTGCCTGTCCTGTCGTACTTATGTTTGCAATAGATTACTGTTACAACAGACAAATAACTAAGTTTGTTCAAAGTCTTTCATTTACAAGTGGCAGCGGCGTCACAGAGTGAGTGAGCACTGAGCAGCAGCTGAAACTTGGAGGGGGAAGCGCGTAGCAGATCCTGCACATGTGCAGAAATCTCTATCTTTAGTTGTAAAAAATCTGGGTTCCAGAAAATCCGGAACCCCAGCCACTGTAAAAAGAACATTGTGGAGGGTTGGTAGCTGACTGGCTATAGTGTCACATTTATAGCTAAGGTAGAGGGGCTGAACAGCTCTTTTCATCCTCCAGGAAGGGAGGCTTGTTGATTGTGATCAGTAGGCTGTAATTCTTATCTGCTGTAGGGGGCTACTCAAGCTTGTGGGCACACACAAAGAGACGCTTGTGGGCGGCTCGGGTCTTCCTGGGGTCTTAAGCGGTGCGCGGCTGCGAAACGAATATAGGGGAAACTCCGTTGACTCTTGAATGCATTTACATTTAAAGCAGCTACTGGCAATTATTTATCTGTAGATAGATCTAAATGTAATGCCACATGTATTTTCATCCTAAATAGTGTACTGCGTGAGTGGCACAGTGGATGTGGTGTAAAATCACCATGTAACTAGAACTGATAAGCGAAGTTGGCCAGAGAGACTGCAGTCCTTGTAAGAGAAGTAGAGATCTGCCAAGAGCAGTGAGCCCAAGGCATCGAGCCAAAAGTTAAAAGAATTCCAGGACTCTCCCCTCCATCTTGAAGTGTTTTTACTATGTCAGGAGATAAGATAATGATGCATGTATCCTGAACAAAAATATAAACGCAACATGTAAAGTGTTGGTCCCATGTTTCATGAACTGAAATAAAAGATCCCAGAAATGTTTCATACACACATAAAGCTTATTTCGCTCAAATTTTGTGCACAAATTTGTTTGCATCCCTGTTAGTAAGCATTTTCCTTTACCAATTAATCCCAAAAGGTTCATGGGGTGTGGGTCAGGGCTGTCGGTGGAAAGTCATGTGTCATGACAACCTAATCATCAACAAACTATTTCTGTATGGACCTCACTTTGTGCACGGGGGCATTGTCATGCTGAAACAGGAAAGGGCCTTCCCCAAACTGTTGCCACAAAGTTGGAAGCACAGAATCGTCTAGCATGTCATTGTATGCTGTAGCTTTAAGATTTCCATTTACTGGAACTAAGGGGCTTACTCGAACCATGAAAAACAGCCCCAGACCATTATTCTTCCTCCACCAAACTCTACAGTTGGCACTATGCATTCGGCAGGTGGCGTTCTCCTGGCATCCGCCAAACCCAGAAAGCGTTTCCACTGCTCCAGAGTCCAATGGCGGCAAGCTTTACACCACTCCAGCCGACGCTTGGCATTGCGCATGGTAATCTTAGACTTATGTGCGGCTGCTCTGCCATGGAAACCCATTTCATGAAGCTCCTGACAAACAGTCTTGTGCTGATGTTGCTTCCAGAGGCAGTTTGGAACTCAGTATTGAGTGTTGCAACCGAGGACAGACGACTTATACGCGCTATGTACTTCAACACTCGGCGGTCCCATTCTGTGAGCTTGTGTGGCCTACCACTTCGTTGCTGAGCCGTTGTTGCTCCTAGACCTTTCCACTTCACAATAACAGCACTTACAGTTGACCGTGGCAGCTCTAGCAGGGCAGAAATTTGACAAGTTGACTCGTTGGAAAGGTGGCATCCTATGACAGAGCCACGTTGAAAGTCACTGAGCTCTTCAGTAAGGCCAATCTACTGCCAATGTTTGTCTATGGAGATTGCATGGCTGTGTGCTCGATTTTATATACCTGTCAGCAACGGGTGTGGCTGAAATAGCCAAATCCACTAATTTGAAGGGGTGTCCACATATTTTTGTATATATAGTGTATATCCAATCTTAACTTTTTTGGATTTGACATTCAACTCCTATGAAATTAACCTTTTTTAGCTGAAAATAGTTGTAACAACATTTCAAGTAATTCCATGATGAATACTAGGGAGTACCCTTTGTTTTTATTTACCTGTAGATTTTGACACACCTTATAATCCTTTTAGGTCACATAATGTGTACAATAAAGCCTATGTACACCGGGGTGTAGCCAAAACCTTTTTTAAGGCTCTAGGTGGGATCAGGGCTGCTAGGAGGGGGGACTCTGAGGATTTGTGAAGGGAAGTACCTGAGCGCAAGGTGATTCTTGCGCCTTCACGCCCACTGGCAGGTTGAACAAATACTGGACCTGTTTCCGATGTATTTAGTCTCCATGGACCTCTTGTCTGTCCCGACTCATCCTCTGAAAAGGATACTTTGATCGTCACTGTCGGACACTGGAGACGGGACAGGTGAGTTGGCATACTTTAAGTCGTTTAACTTTAACTGCAGTTGCTCGACATAACTTTATGCGTAAAAGTGGCGCTTAGTGTTTCCAAAACTACATTCAACTAGTTTAGGCTGCTCATCTCACAATGCCGTTCGTGGTGTGTAGACTCATAGCATTTGTTTTTCTTACATAGACTTCAAACAATAGCCTACGTCTCCTATTTATCATACTTTTTATTTGGCCTATCCATTCCTTAGGGCGATCCATTACTCCGATGCGCTTTTGACGGGTGAGCGCACGTTTCGAAATCGCCCAAAATGAAGCCCCCAAATAAGAAACTTAGATGAAAATCATAAACACTTAAATATAGCCTACTAATTATGTAGTTTTATTTCAACTCCACTCCTATTAATAATACCATTGTCTAGTGATATTGATTGTGCATGTTTACTTATAGTAAATTGCTAGCTTTTTCTGCATTAGTAGCTAGGTTTACATCCAATTGGTGACAGATTTTCATGCGAATATTCTAAAATCCGCATAAAGAAAATAGCCTATGTGAATTTTCCCACCATTGGTGTTTCCACCAAACGGATTTGTTGCAGATAAAAGTCAGTGAGTGATGACTTAGTGCACACAAAATGTACTTTTCATCTTAAATTGTACCCAATAAAAATATAATGTTCAATGTGTTTCCATCGCATTGTCATAAAAACTGTTGAGTTTAATAGCAAATGTGCTTACTCTGGTCTTGGCGAGTGCGCTCTAGCCAACAGCTTGCAGATACAGTGCTGGTAGTAGGCTAGACATGATGAGATAATGGATAAGAGCGAGAATATTTGTATTTGTCAAATGGCAGTCAAGCATTGATCATGTCACCTGAATAAGACCCTCGATATTTATTGGAAAGGAGCATCAAGATCACCCCTGCATGGTTTCCCGGGTCATAGTGTGAGGACCACACGCCATATAATCGCGCAACACATCGCGTGACTCCAAGTTTACTTAGATTTGGTGGTTATTATATCAATATTTGTTATACATTATACATTTTACCAACACAAAAAGATCCCACCATGTCCAACTAACAAATTATCTGTTGGCATTTATCAAATTGTATCGAAACTTCCTGTTTCCATCTCAGCTGTCTTGATTTTTTCAAATAAAGTATGACTTTACTCGCATAAAAACTGTGGATGGAAACTTGGTTAGTAGCTAGGTTTCCATCCAACTGTCAACAGATTTTCATGCGAATATTCTAAAATCCGCATAAAAACAATATGCGCATTTTCCCACCAGAGATGTGCTTCAATCAAATTGACTTGTTGCAGATAAAAGGCTGTGCGTGATGGTGTAGTGCAGGGTTTTCCCAAACTCGGTCCTGGCATAAAAAATACCTTTTGCGGTTAAATTCCCATTTACCGAATAGAAATACAAGTTAAATGGGTGTCCATCGCATTTCTAACTCTACTGATGGTTTTCTCACATTGTTGTTTTGCATTATATAGCGAGTGTGCCCACTGGGATTGGCACATACGCTCTAGCCAAAAGTGCTATCTGTGTTGGCTAGAGTGCACGTATAGCCTACATGATGGGATTATGAGGCCTATTATTGACAAAAGAGCGACATTATTTTTATTTCTCAAACGGCAGCCAATCATCAATTATCATGTCACCAGAATAAGAACCTTGGATCTTTATTGGAAAGGAGCATCAAGCTTATCACCTTGCACTTTCACCACCATGTGAAGATCATAATTTATTTAATTTGTAGCCTAATAAACTGCATGCTTACCGGCTGAATCGTAGTGAGAGGCCACACAACAACTCACCCCAGCGCTTGACTCCAACTTTACTTCGATATGATGGTTATTATATCAATATTTGTGCATAAAAGCGTTTCCACCAACATTTCTAGCATAATTCATTTTACCCACACAAAAATATTCCTCATTGTCTAGCGTATTTTGTTTTGCGGACATTTGGAAAGTTTACCGAAACATTTTATGTTTCCATCAGGCCTGTCATTACATTTTGTATCTGACTGTGTACTTTACTTGCATAAAAAAGTTGGATGGAAACCTGGTTTAATACTGTCAATGGCCTAGTTAGATGGAATATTTAGTTCCATTGTTCCATGGTGGTGTATTTCCACTGATGGAATAACATTGGATGGGAGATCAGCCTTTTCTCCCCATGAGAGCTGCACCCATCATTATGATGACCTTTACAGAGTTATGCAATGTGAATATTATCTTGTCAAAAATAGACATCTGATGTAACTGAATTTCACCACAAGTTGTAGTATTATTGGGGGATAAAGAAGTTTGACCAGTAGACCTACAGTAAATTCCATTGCCCTTAAATGTCATACCCATCTTACCATTATTTTTTATAACTTTCTTTTAAATGGGGTTTGATATGCTTCATGTAAAGTAGGCTACTATTACAGGGTTCAATTCAAGGTGTACAAGCTACTATTACAAGGTGTGCCAAAAAAAGGAAAGCCTACAATGCATTTCCCAATCTTTGACTGACTGAGTATTCCATTCTATGTGCAGATACTGGAATGCTCTGTGTGAGGTAAGGTTGCTTTGAAGCCAAGATGGAGTTAAAGAAGGATCGTGAGTGGCCCCCAGGGGAGCCTGCTCCTTCTCCCCCCAACTCTGTCTGCTGTAGGAAAATCACACTGGCTTTTATCCTCGTCTTATTCATCAGCGTCTTTGTGGGCTTGTTGGTTGGTGAGTCATGTGACTTACGTCATGCTTATTACAGATAATGTATCGGCTATTTGAATAGTAATAATCAATTGCATACAGATGTTTGATCCTCTCTGACATCATCAGCATACTTGGTGCAAGAGGAGCATTACTTCATGGAGACAGTAGAGCTGAAGGGTCTGAAGTATGGCCCTGACCTGCAAGATGAGAGCTCTGCATTCTCTATAGTGCTCACTTCTACTCTAAGGACTAAGGTAAGAGCTGACTGCAATGAGATCCTGGGGCCTGATTTCATGGCACATATTCACATTTTAATGATTTTATTAATAAATAGTTCAAATCTTTCCATCCACTTGCAGATCAAGAATATTTTCATTGCCTCGTCAATAGCACATCACTATATCAACTGTAATATTGTTGCCTATGGGTAAGTCCAAAGATAATTAATGTTACGTTGAATAATAATATATGCCATTTAGCAGATGCTTTTATCCAAAGCGACTTACATGCATGCATACATTTTATGTATGGGTGGTCCCGGGAATCAAACCCACTATCCTGGCATTACAAGTGCCATGATCTACCAACTGAGCTACAGAGGACCACACATACTTAAATGAAATGTATAGTAAAAGAGTGTTTTAGAACCTTTAATATTTTGTTTACTTTAATTTGATGTCTCCCTTTATTCCAGTAACATCAATGGCGATGTGATGGCCACATACCGACTGGTCTTCAGCGTGTCCAAGGTCCAGCAGTACTCTGATAATTTTATTCAGGACCTTTTGAGGGTAGGACTGAATGCCCTGTTCCATGGGAAGCCCATAGAAGTGCCTGAGTTTGGAGAGATCAACACTATTGTCTTACTGGGTACTGTGTCATCTTTTTTTGTCTGATAGATATGATGTATGATAGAAAATCCCACTCAAACACTCTGATTGACACATATCCTGATTGTAGTTACAAGACAATGTTTCGACCAAAACAGATCAAGATATGTAGAGAAAGAGGGGGTATAGATATTGCATAGTTCACAACTATCATTAAAGTGTATAGTTACATAATATGTCATGCTTTCTTCCTCATCCAATCTTTTATTTTCATGTTCACTACCCAGGGGCCAGTGGGAAGTCATTCTATAGCATTGGAGATGATATGGGTGAGTGTTTCTATTCTACCCTAATCTTGATTGCTCTAAAAAAGTCAAGGCGCCGCGGGTCAGGGTTTTCTATCTGACCGTATGATACTGTCTCTCCCCAGCCAGCTGTCCCGACAACACTTTCAGCTGTGACAATGGGGAGTGTGTCACCAAGGTCAACGCCGAGTGTGATTTCATCCCAGACTGTGCCGACGGCTCTGATGAAGCTTACTGCTGTGAGTGCTCTTTAACCTCTATGACTGACAGACTGACAGACAGACATGACAGACAGAAACACCAGAACATACAACTTTCACAATATACTAACTGACTGCTGTTGTCCCCAGCCTGTGGGACTCGTCCGGCCATGGGCAGTAGAATAGTGGGTGGAGTGGATGCCCGTCCTGGGGAGCTGCCCTGGCAGGTCAGTCTGAGGCTGCATGGCCGACACAACTGTGGAGCCTCCATCATCAACAGCCATTGGCTTGTCACTGCTGCTCACTGCTTCGAGAAGTAGGTTACTACACCATGCACCGGTTTCCACTAGATAGCACAGCCACAAAGTCAAAATTGGCTATATCGTAAAAATGTGGTCTTCATTTAAGGTTAGGGTTAGGCATAAGGTTAGCAGTGTGGTTAAGGTTAGGGTTAAGGTTAGGTTTAAAATCTCATTTTAAGAAGAGAAATTGTAGAAATAGGTGTGGTTTCTGACTTTGTGGCTGTGGTAACTAGTGACGACCCCTTGCACCTGTCAATAGACTTGCCACACATACAGTGGTGTGAAAAAGTGTTTGCCCCCTTCCTTATTTGTTATTTGTTTGCCACACTTAAATGTTTCAGATCATCAAACAAATGTAAATATTAGTCAAAGATAACACAAGTAAACACAAAATGCAGTTTTGAAATGAAGGTTGTTATTATTAAGGGAAAACAAAATCCAAACCTACATGGCCCTGTGTGAAAAAGTGTTTGCCCCCCCTGTTATAACACAACTCAACTGTGGTTTATCACACCTGAGTTCAATTCCTCTAACCACACCCAGGCCTGATTACTGCCACACCTGTTCTCAATCAAGAAATCACTTAAATAGGACCTGCCTGACAAAGTGAAGTAGACCAAAAGATCCTCAAAAGCTAAACATCATGCCGAGATCCAAAGAAATTCAAGAACAAATGAGAAAGAAAGTAATTGAGATCCATCAGTCTGGAAAAGGTTATAAAGCCATTTCTAAAGCTTTGGGACTCCAGCGAACCACAGTGAGAGCCATTATCCACAAATGGCGAAAACATGGAACAGTGGTGAACCTTCCCAGGAGTGGCCGGCCGACCAAAATTACCCCAAGAGCGCAGCGACAACTCATCCAAGAGGTCACAAAAGACCCCACAACAACATCCAAAGAGCTGCAGGCCTCACTTGCCTCAGTTAAGGTCAGTGTTCATGACTCCACCATAAGAGACTGGGCAAAAATGGCCTGCATGGCAGAGTTCCAAGACGAAAACCACTGCTGAGCAAAAATAACATTAAGGTTTGTCTCATTTTTGCCAGAAAACATCTTGATGATCCCCAAGACCTTTGAGAAAATACTCTGTGGACTGACGAGACAAAAGTTGAACTTTTTGGAAGGTGTGTGTCCCATTACATCTGGCGTAAAAGTAACACCGCATTTCAGAAAAAGAACATCATACCAACAGTACAATATGGTGGTAGTAGTGTGATGGTCTGGGCCTGTTTTGCTGCTTCAGGACCTGGAAGACTTGCTGTGATAAATGGAACCATGAATTCTGCTGTCTACCAAAAAATCCTGAAGGAGAATGTCCGGCCATCTGTTCGTGACCTCAAGCTGAAGCGAACTTGGATTCTGCAGCAGGACAATGATCCAAAACACACCAGCAAGTCCACCTCTGAATGGCTGAAGAAAAACAAAATGAAGACTTTGGAGTGGCCTAGTCAAAGTCCTGACCTGAATCCTATTGAGATGCTGTGGCATGACCTTGAAAAGGCAGTTCATGCTCAAATCCTCCAATGTGGCTGAATTACAACAATTCTGCAAAGATGAGTGGACCAAAATTCCTCCACAGCGCTGTAAAAGACTCATTGCAAGTTATCGCAAACGCTTGATTGCAGTTGTTGCTGCTAAGGGTGGCCCAACCAGTTATTAGGTTGTAGGGGGCAATCACTTTTTCACACAGGGCCATGTGGGTTTGGATTTTGTTTTCCCTTAATAATAACAACCTTCATTTCAAAACTGCATTTTGTGTTTACTTGTGTTATCTTTTACTAATATTTACATTTCTTTGATCTGAAACATTTAAGTGTGACAAACATGCAAACAAATAAGAAATCAGGAAGGGGGCAAACACTTTTTCACACCACTGTAGGCTATCAAGGTGGAGAAGTGAGGAGTGATTGTGTCAGTTTGAAGTTGAGTGAATTGACTACTCTTTTCCAACTCCCTACAGGGACAATGACCCAAAAGAATGGACAGCCCTGGTAGGAGCCATCCTGGTGAGTGGAGAAGAGTCAGACGCCATCTCTGTGAACATCAAGTCTGTGTTTGTGTCCCCACACTACAACCCTATGACCACTAACAACGATGTGACCATGCTGGAGCTAGAGACCCCCCTCACCTTCAGCCCCTACATCCAGCCTGTCTGTCTGCCCTCCTCCTCCCATGTCTTCAGCCCAGGCCGGAACTGTGTGGTGTCTGGCTGGGGGGCTCTCAACCAGCATTCCTGTGAGTTACCTTTGAATTTGTTTTTATAACCACAGCATTTTCCCAAAAGTCACACCTTTGTAAGTTACCTTTTGTATTGTAGTGCTCACTGACCCTGTTCTCTGTTGTGCTGTGTAGTTGATACGCCACCAGCTCTACAGAAGGCAGTGGTGAATATCATTGATTCAAAGGTCTGCAACAAGTCGTCCGTTTACAGAGGCTCTGTGACCGACAACATGATGTGTGCTGGCTTCTTACAGGGGAAGGTCGACTCCTGTCAGGTGAGAAAGCGATGAGCCTGAAAAGCTATCCACTTGCAGTCTGACTTTTTTGGTTCCCCTACATGGTGGCTCTATTTAAGTAATAAGGCCAGAGGGGGTGTGGTATATGGTCAATATACCACGGCGAAGGGCTGTTCTTACGCAGGACGCAACGCAGAGTGCCTGGACACAGCCCTTAGCCGTGGTATATTGGCCATATACCTCAAACCGAGGTGCCTTATTGCTATTATAAACTGGTTACCAATGTAATTAGAACAGTAAAAAATATTTTGGGGACATACCTGTGGTATACCCACGGCTTTCAGCCAATCAGCATTCAGGGCTCTAACCACCAAGTTTATAATACATACTGTATACATGTCCTTTCTTTTGTTGTGTGGAATGTGTACTTAGAGTTCAAATAACACATTGACCCTTAGGGCTGTCCTACAAATAGTGGGCTGGGTTTATGGCATGTTGACATGCTTATTAAATTCCCTGATTTTGTATTAAATCACTATCAGGGTGACTCTGGAGGGCCACTGGTGTGTGAGGAGGCCCCAGGGCGGTTCTTCCTGGCTGGAGTGGTGAGCTGGGGTGTGGGCTGTGCTCAGATCAACAGGCCAGGGGTCTATTCCCGCGTCACCAGGCTACGCAACTGGATCCTCAGCCACACCAACCCTGGCATGGTCCACTACCCTGCCCACACCCCGCCAATGGTGCCAGTTCCGACACCAACAGTCAGTCCTATTTCCAAGACAATGGCAGCAGCTCCACTCCTGCCTGGTAATATTGGAAGCAAGGTTATAGGGACATTTTAGGTAGTTGATGTTTGATAATACAGGATATACAGTGCATTTGGAAAGAAATTCGACCCCTTGACTTTTTACACATTTTGTTACTTTACAGCCTTATTCTAAAATTGATTAAATTGTTTTTTCCCCTCATCAATCTACACCCAATACCCCATAATGACAAGGCAAAAACAGGTTTTTAGAGTTTTTTGCAAAAAAATAATACAAAATACTGAAATATCACATTTACATAAGTATTCAGAGCCTTTAGTCAGTATTTTGTTGAAGCACCTTTGGCAGCGATTACAGCCTTGAGTCTTCTTGGGTATGATGCTGCAAACTTGGCACACCTCTACTTGTGGAGTTTCTCCCATTTTTCTCTGCAGATCATCTCAAGCTCTGTCAGGTTGGATGGGGAGCATCGCTGCACAGCTATCGTAAGGTCTATCCAGAGATGTTAGATCGGGTTCAGGTCCGGGCTCTGGCTGGGCCACTCAAGGACATTCAGAGACTTGTCCCGAAGCCAATCCTGTGTTGTCTTGGCTGTGTGCTTAGGGTCGTTGTCCTGTTGGAAGGTGAACCTTTGCCCCCAGTCAAGGATCTCTCTGTACGTTGCTCTGTTCATCGCTCTGTTCATCATTCCCTCGATCCTGACTAGTCTCCCAGTCCCTGCAGCTGAAATACATCCCCACAGCATGATGCTGCAACCACCATGCTTCACCGTAGGGATGGTGCCAGATTTTCTCCAGACGTAACGCTTGGCATTCAGGCCAAAGAGTTCAATCTTGGTTTCATCAGACCAGAGAATCTTGTTTCTCATGGTCTGAGAGTCCTTTAGGTGCCTTTTGGCAAACTCCAAGTGAACCTTCCAGAAGGACAACTATCTCTGCAGCACTCCACCAATCAGGCCTTTTACTGAGGAGTGGCTTCCGTCTGGCCACTCTGATTGGTGGAGTGCTGCAGAGATAGTTGTCCTTCTGGAAGGTTCTCCCATCTCTACAGAGGAACTCTGGAGCGGTGTCAGAGTGACCATCGGGTTCTTGGTCACCTCCCTGACCAAGGTCCTCCCCCAATTGCTCAGTTTGGCCGGGTGGCCAGCTCTAGGAAGAGTCTTGGTGGTTCCAAACTTCTTACATTTAAGAATGATGGAGGCCGCTGTGTTCTTGGGGACCTTCAATGCTGCAGAAATGTTTTGGTACCCTTCCCCAGATCTGTGCTTCGACACAATACTGTCTCGGAGCTCTACGGACAATTCCTTCGACCTCATGGCTTGGTTTTTGCTCTGACATGCACTGTCAACTGTGGGACCTTATATAGACAGGTGTGCGCCTTTCCTAATCATGTCCAATCATTTGAATTTACCACAGGTGGACTCCAATCAAGTTGTAGAAACATCTCAAGGATGATAAATGGAAACAGAATGCACCTGAGCTCAATTTCGAGTCTCATAGCAAAGGGTCTGAATACTTAAGTAAATAAGGTATTTCTGTTTTTTATTTTTAATAAATGTGCAAAAATTTCTAAACCTGTTTTCGCTTTGTCATAATGGGGGTATTGTGTGTAGATTGATGAGTTTTATTTATTCAATCATTTTTAGAATAAGGCTGTAACGTAAACAAAATGTGGAAAAAGCGAAGGGGTCTGAATACTTTCCCGAATGCACTGTAACTAATCATAGTGTTTTTTTTGGCAGCTGTGAACTGTAGTGAGAACTTCAAGTGCAGGGCTGGGGACTGCATCAACAAAATTAACCCTGAGTGTGATGGTGTCATTGACTGCTCTAACGAGGCTGATGAGAAGAACTGTGGTGAGTTTATCGCTGGCCTGTCTCACAAACTGTACAACTATCTCAGTTGTCAACATACAGTGCCTTCAGAAAGTATTCACACCCTTAGACTTTTTCCACATTTTGTTGTGTTACAGCCTGAATTTAAAATTGATTAAATTTTTATTTTGTGGCACTGACCTACACACAATACCCCATAATGTCAAAGTGGAATTATGTTTTGAGAACTTTTTACAAATTAATTAAATATGAGTTAAATTAAGGAGTAAACTTACATGGACTCACTCTTTGTGCAATAATAGTGTTTAACATGATTTTTGAATGACTACCTCAGCTGTGTACCCCACACATACAGATAATTGTAAGGTCCCTCAGTCGAGCAGTGAATTTCAAACACAGATTCAACCAAAAAGACCAGGGAGGTTTTCTAATGCCTCGCAAAGAATGGCACCTATTGGATTTCACCATGAGGCCAATGGTGACTTTAAAACAGTTACAAAGTTTAATGGCTGTGATAAGAGAACTGAGGATGGATCAACAACATTGTAATTACTCAACAATACTTACCTAAATGACAGAGTGAAAAGAAGGAAGCCTCTACAAAATAAAAATATTCCAAAACATGCATCACCTCTTTTCGGAGTACATAACCAGCTTCTCAGGCTCCATCTCAGTGTGCTTCATCCTATAGCTAGAGGACTTCTGAGATCTCCAGCAGTGATAAGTATACTTTTTGTCTTTATCTGTTATCTAGTACAGTCTTTTTGTGAGCTAAGGCCATCTAATTTAAGTGCTGCCTGTCTTCCCAGTAGCCTACTTGCTGTGTGAACTACTGACTGCTATTAATTTGCAGATGATTGTTGACACATCAACCAGGATTAAGGGGCAGGGCAATTTGGGACTGTTGTTGTTTTGGTCATCAGTGGCTGTATTGGAGAGGGAGGTGTGCTCTTCACCTTTGCAAGGCAATTAGCAATTAATATTAGTACTTCAGTCTCCCCTGTTTTCTCAGCGGTGGTCTTGTCAGCGGTGCAAAACTAAGACCGTCGCCGAATCAAAGACTGTTCAGCCGAGTTGTTCTGCAGAGTTATTTGAGGAAGGAAAGAGAGGAAGACTCCACACCACTCTCTGACTTTAGTATCTTATCTAGTTATTTTCAGATGATCTCATTTTGCTCTTTTGTAGCTTTGGCAACTATGTGTGTGTTTTCTATTCCAGTTGGCTGCAACCTTTCTACAGACGCTCCCCACCCCTTGGCTGCAACCTTTCTAATTTAGTGTACCCTGCGTGTACAACCCATGTGGAATTCCTGGACTCTGGCAGCGTTTGGAACTGCCGATCTGTGGTTAAGAACGCAGAGTTCATCTCAGCCTATGCTGCCCTTCAGTCCCTGGACTTTTTGGCCCCGACGGAGACATGGATCACCCCAGAGAACACTGCTACTCCAGCTGCTCTCGCTTTATATGACTACATATTCTCTCATAGTCCGAGAGCATCTGGTCATCGAGGTGGTGGCACAGGGCTACTAATTTCTCCTAAGTGGAGATGTTCTCTTTTCTCCCTCTCTCACCTGTCCATCTCTTATTTCGAATTCCATGCTGTCACTGTCACTTGTCCCCTCAAGCTTAACATTGTTGTCATCTATCGCCCACCAGATGCCCTTAGAGAGTGCCCTTAGAGGTGCCCTCAATGAGCTTGACACCTTGATAAGCTAATTTCCTGGCGATGGTTCACCGCTCTTAGTACTTGGCAACTTCAACCTCCCAACGTCTGCCTTCAATTCATTTCTTTCCAACTCTCTCTTTCCCCTCGCCTCTTTTGACCTCACCCTTTCGCAGTCCCCTCCCACTCACAAGGCAGGCAATACGCTTGACCTCATCTTTACTAGATGCTGTTCGCCTACTAATCTCACTGCAACCCCCCCTCCAGGTTTCTGATCACTACTTTTTTATATATTTTTTAAAAAATCATTTTCTGTCTACCTTTCCTCCAACCCTAGCCACTCAGTCCCTACCCAGATGGTGATGTGCCGTCACAATCTTCTCCCGCTCTCTCTCCTCTTCTCTCTCTCTCTCTCTCCTCTTCTATCCTCTCTCCATTCTGCTGAATCCTTTTCCCTCCTGTCTCCTGATTCTGCCTCTTCAACCCTACTCTCCTCCCTTTCCGCATCCTATGACTCGCACTGTCCCCTTTCCTCCCGGCCGGCTCGCCCCTCCCTTCCTGCTCCGTGGCTGAGTGACTCATTGCGAGTTTACAGAATAGGGCTGCGGGCAGCTAAACTTCTGGAGGACCTATCATCCTTCCACTCCCTCACTCAACCTTCTCTTCCTCTGTATCTGCTGCTAAAGCCACCTTCTATCACTCTAAATTCAAGCTACTGCCTCTAACCCCTCATTTTATACCTTCTCCCTCCTTAATCCTCCACCCCCTCCCCTCCCTCCTCCCTCTCTGCGGACGACTTTGTCAACCACTTTGAAAAGAAGGTTGACGACATCCGCTTCTCATTCACTCAGCCTATTGAGTCCACTGGTCCCACTTACACGGAACTACACTACGCCTTGACCTCTTTCTACCCTCTCTCTCAACATGAAATTCTGCGACTAGTGAGGTCCAGCCACCCGACAACCTGCACGCTCGACCCCATCCCCTCCTCCCTTCTCAAGACCACCTCTGGAGACCTCCCTCATCAACTCATCCCTGACCACTGGCTGCGTCCCCTCTGACTTCAAAATAGCCCGAGTCGCTACCCTTCTCAAGAAACCAACACTCGACTCCTCTGACATCAGAAACTACAGACTGGTATCCCTTTCTTTTATTTCCAAAACACTTGAGTGTGCTGTCTATGACCAACTCTCTCGCTATCCCTCTCAGAACAATCTTCTTGACCCTAACCAGTCAGGCTTTAAGACGTGCCACTCAACCGAGACTACTCTTCTCTGTGTCCCGGAGGCTCTCCGCACTGCCAAAGCTACATTTCTATCCTCTGTCTCATCCTCCCAGATCTATCTGCTGCCTTCGACACTGTGAAACATCAGATCCTCCTCACCCACTCAGGGCTGGGTGTCTCAGGCTCTGCACACTCTTGGATTGCATCCTACCTGGCAGGCCGCTCCTACCAGGCAGGGTTGCCAGGTCTAGATACAATTTTTAGCCCAATGACCACTCAACCTGCCCAAAAGGCCTGAAAACTAGCCCAATTTTGAGAGGAGTTGCCACAATTATACAATAAACCCTTTTTCCATAACGTTGTCGAGCCAATTAAGAAGGAATATCGACGTAACTTGTAATGACGTTAGAAGCAAAATTCAGTTTATCAAAATAATAATTATTGCGAGCTAGGACATGACGTAATAAAGGAATTTGAATATCACAAGAGAAAAGATCATTCGGCAGATGATTTTCCATCAATGGATGTCGATTTACCTCGATTGACTGCTATGATTAAGCAATAAGACACGAGGGGGTTACGGTACTGAATATGGCCAATACAGTGCATTCGGAAAGTATTGCTATGAGACTCGAAATTGAGCTCAGGTGCATCCTGTTTCCATTGATCATCCTTGATGTTTCTACAACTTGATTGGAGTCCACATGTGGTAAATTCAATTGATTTGGAAAGGCATACACCTGTCTATATAAGGTCCCACAGTTGACAGTGCATGTCAGAGCAAAAACCAAGCCATGAGGTCGAAGGAATTGTCCTTAGATCTCCGAGACAGGATTGTGTCAAGGCACAGATCTGGGGAAGGGTACCAAAACATTTCTTCAGCATTGAAGGTCCCCAAGAACACAGCGGCCTCCATCATTCTTAAATGGAAGAAGTTTGGAAACACCAAGCCTCTCCCTAGAGCTGGCAGCCCGGCCAAACTGAGCAATCGGGGGAGAAGGGCCTTGGTCAGGGAGGTGATCAAGAACCCGATGGTCACGCTGACAGAGCTCTAGAGTCCCTCTGTGGAGATGGGAGATCCTTCCAGAAGGACAACCATCTCTGCATCACTTCCACCAATCAGGCCTTTATGGTAGAGTGGACAGATGGCAGTCACTCCTCAGTAAAAGGCACATGACAGACCACTTGGAGTTTGCCAAAAGGCACCTAAAGGACTCTCAGACAATGAGAAACATGATTCTCTGGTCTGATGAAACAAAGATTGAACTCTTTGGCCTTAGTGCCAAGCGTCACGTCTGGAGGAAACCTGGCACCATCCCTATGGTGGTGCAGCATCATGCTGTGGGGATGTTTTTCAGCGGCTGGGACTGGGATACTAGTCAGGATCGAGGGAAAGATAAACGGAGCAAAGTACAGAGAGATCCTTGATGAAAACATTCTCAGGACAACGATCCTAAGTACACAGCCAAGACAACGTAGGAGTGGCTTCGGGACAAGTCTCTGAATGTCCTTGAGTGGCCCAGCCAGAGCCCGGACTTGAACCCGATTTAACATCTCAGGAGAGACCTGAAAAAAGCTGTGCAGCGATGCTCCCCATCCAACCTGACAGAGGTTGAGAGGATCTGCAGAGAATGGGAGAAACTCTGCAAATACAGGTGTGCCAAGCTTGTAGCGTCATACTCAAGAAAACTCGAGGCTGTAATCGCTGCCAAAGGTGCTTCAACAAAGTACTGAGTAAAGGGTCTGAATACTTATGTAAATGTGATATTTCATAAAACCTGTTTTGTGTAGATTGATGAGGGAAACAAACTATTTAATCAATTTTAGAATAAGGCTGTAACGTAACAGAATGTGGAAAAAGCCAAGAGGTCTGGATACTTTCCGAATGCACTGTATACCACGGCTGAGGGCTGTTCTTAAGTATGACGTAACGCGGAATGCCTGGATACAGCCATTAGCCGTGGTATATTGGCCATTTACCACAACCCCCGGGGTGCCTTATTGCTATTATAAACTGGTTAACAACGTAATTAGAAAAGTAAGTCATTTTTTTGTCATACCCGTGGTATATGGCCCGATATATCACGGCTTTCAGCCAGTCAGCATTCAGGGCTCGAACACGGTTTAAAATTGCTAATAAATCCCTTTTGCGCATGTGCATAACTATAGATAAATCCGACAGGAGTGTTTGAGTGATGAGAGTTAGACAGAGGATCTCAAAATCGGTTTGTAGATGTTAAGACTACAAACCGTTATAAATGGCCCATTTGCGAGATTGACTTGTAATTTCAATAGGCATAGTCCACAGTAGCGGTACCTGGGTAAAATCACCGGGGAAGCCAAACCAGGGAAAAAAAGCAATTTTACAACCTATGTTTTGTGATAATTGCGTTGTTTTCTCTATAACCTATTAGTTCATATGCCTTGACACCGTGATATAAGGCAGAGACAATAAGAAGACACAGTGGCGGAATAAATTCTACCACACATTTGTTTCATTACAAAACCGGAGAGCAACATCTGTCCGGTGACGTCCACAAAACATATTGGATGTAACAGTTACATAACCTACAGCATGGTCAAGCAAGGTAATGTTTCTGACATTTTCGGACTACTAAACTATTGATTTAGAACCACGTAGAGTTACCACAAGTCGCAAAGAAAACAGGAGCTTCTTCCACTATTCCAGCACCATTTCAACATCATGTAATCACCTAATCTTAGTCTACTACAGTGCCAACTAAAAGATACCAAAAACATTTTAGTCCAATCAACGTAAGGTAAATATGATGTGGCTGTCCATGGTACTGATTTGTGTGTGTGTGCGTGCAAGTAGAAAAAACATGTTGACTCACCCTACTTGTAGAGAAACGCCAATGCCATTCTCTTTCATGTTGCCTAAACGGTCTATGACTGTCATTTAGTACATGCTTTTAGTTTTTGTTGTCCTAGGCTACCTGGTTAAAATGCTTGCTCGCTAGCCTAACTTTCTTTTATGGGCAACGATACGCCAGGCCAGCTAGTTAACATTAGCAAACTACATCTAGCTACACGTTGAACTTCCATCATCTCAGGCCAGGGGCACAATGTATGAATTTATTGTTGGATCAGAATCGCCGAAATAATCATTGGCCAGTATGGAGAATCAAGTAAAACCACTCCAAATAACTATCTCCATCCAAGGCTAATATAGGAAAGGTTCGATTTTAGCTAGCCACCGGAGGACAACAACATGAGATGCAACAATTCAAGTTATTTTCTGTCAACAATTACATTTGGCCTGTGATGTGATTGGTCTGAAGCCAAATCCAAACTGGCTTCCCTTGACACAATGTTTTGGTGCGCCAGGACCATTCACAGCTGAGCTCGCTCAGTTTAGCTCAAGGCTGATTGCCTATTATTTTATTTTTTATCAGCTTGCTTAGTTCAAATTAACAGACTAATTAATTCAACATGAATAGGGAGGCGATTTCGAGGTAAGACGTGCTTGTGTTTCCCAATAGCCAGCTGGAATAGGCTACTGAGGATGGGGTCATAATTTTAATCACTGAATTAAATATTAATAATTTGTATTTGAACTGAATATGCTTGTCAACAACAGCTAGTGTTTTTTTACTTGTAGCCTATGACTACTGTTACAGTCAATCTAATGCGTTCTAACAACCGATCAGCAATTGCGATAGAGATTTGATAACTTCCGATTGAATTAACAAAACATGGCCATTAATAATTGCACAATAACACAAGGCTACAAATGGGCACAAATGTATTTGCAATGACTCCAGTGATATCGTCATTTCAACATATTTTTTGTATCAAATGGTAGCCTACAGTAGCCTACAATGACATATAAATTAATAGGCTAATTGATGGCCAACAGAGGCAAAAGTATCATTCGCTACATTTAATGTCAGTTTCATTGAGGACTTTGCCACATAAAAAGAACCACGCGAGGGAGTTCCATAACTTTCATTTCAAATTTCCACTCACGCAGCCCCAGAGACCCAAGAACTGATGAGCATGCGTAAAACACTTCGCTTTAAAACCGTTTTCTTTAAGAAAAGTCGACATTAGAATGGAGTTTAAACCACCTCTGAGCGAAGTTATGTAATGCGCTCTAGTGCGCCCAAAGTCGTTTCCAATGCTTTGTCTCCACTATTTATTGATGTGCATTAGTTCTAGCGTGTTAATATGTTTTATGGAAAAAGGGTTGGAAAAAGGTAGGTGTCTCCATAATGACAATCTATACTGAACAAATAAATACTGAACAAAAAATAAATAAAAAATATTAACACAACATGCAACAAGTTCAAAGATTTTACTGAGTTACAGTTCATATGAGGAATTCAGTCAATTGAAATAAATTCATTAGGCCCTAATCTATGGATATCACATGACTGGGAATACAGAGATGCATCTGATGGTCAAAGATACCTTAAAATAAATGGGCCTCACAATGGGCCTCAGGATCTCGTCACGGTATTTCTGTACATTCAAATTGCCATCGATAAAATGCAATTGCGTTCGTTGTCCGTAGCTTATGCCTGTCCATACCATAACCCCACCGCCACCATGGGGCACTCTGTTCACAACGTTAACATCAGCAAACTGCTCGCCCACACAACGCCATACACGTGGTCTGCGGTTGTGAGGCCGGTTGGATGTACTGCCTAATTCTCTAAAATGACATTGGAGGCGGCTCATGGTAGAGAAATGAACATTAAATTATCTGGCAACAGCTCTGGTGGACATTCCTGCAGTCAGCATGCCAATTGCACTGTGTTGTGTGACAAAACTGCACATTTTAGAGTGGCCTTTTATTGTCCCTAGCACAAGGTGCACCTGTGTAATGATAATGCTTTTTAATCAGCTTCTTGATATGCCACACCTGTCAGGTGGATGGATTATCTTGGCAAAGGAGAAATGCTCACTAACAAGGATGTAAGCAAATATGTGCACAAATTTTGAGAGAAATACGCATTTTGTGCAAATGAAAATTTCTAGGAGTTTTTATTTCAGCTCATGAAACATGGGACCAACACTTTACATGTTGCGTTTATATTTTTGTTCAGTGTAAATAGCCTACCTACAACTGGTAAAAAGTTGTCACGATGTGCACGCGTGCTGCTCTGTTTCCTCTCACTCACGTGGCTCAGCCAATAGTGGACTTAGCTGCCTGCTGTAGCGCTCTCTCAACACACACACACCCCTCCGGCCCTCCCCACCACTCACTCACTCAGCAACAGACTGCCTCGCTGTCAGCAGCAGGTCACAGTGAAATCATTTTTTAAGAGAAATGCCATGGTGGTTGTGGTGTAACTTAGAAATAGTCCTAAAACCTGCAACCAATATACACTATATATGCAAAAGTATGTGGACACCCCTTCAAATTGGTGGATTCGGTTATTTCAGCCGATGTTGCTGACAGGTGTATAAAATCGAGCACACAGCCACGCAATCTCCATAGACAAACATTGGCAATAGAATGGCCTTACTGAAGAGCTCAGTGACTTTCAACGTGGCACCGTCATAGGATGCCACCTTTCCAACAAGTCAGATCGTCAAATTTCTGCCATGCTAGAGCTGCCCCGGTCAACTGTAAGTGCTGTTATTGTGAAGTGGAAACGTCTAGGAGCAACAATGGCTCAGCAACTTCAGCACAATAAATGTTTGTTGGGAGATTCTTGAAATGGGTTTTCATGGCCGAGCAGCCACACACAAACCTAAGATCACCATGCGCAATGCCAAGGGTCGGATGGAGTGGTGTAAAGCGTGCCGCCATTGGACTCTGTATCAGTGGAAACGCGTTCTCTGAAGTGATGAATCACGCTTCTTATCGCACCCCCCCCCCCCCTTCTCACCTGACACCTCCCCTAGCTCTGACTTTGCTGATAGCTACTCTATTGAGGAAAAATGTACTTACAATGACTGATATGTGGTTGTCTGACCTAGCTATCTTAAGATGAATGCACTAACTGTAAGTTACTCTGGATAAGAGCGTCTGCTAAATGACAAATGTAAATAAGGCACTAAAGTAAAACTGCAAAAGATGTGGTGAAGAAATTAACTTTGTCTTGAATACAGTGTTATGTTTGGGGCAAATCCAACACAACACATCATTGAGTACCACTCTTCATATTTTCAAGCATTTTGTTGGCTGCATCATGTTATGGGTATGCTTGTCATAGGCAAGGACTAGGGAGTTTTTTTTAGGATAAAAATAAACGGAATCGAGCTAAGCAAAGGCAAAATCCTAGAGGAAAACCTGGTTCAGTCTGGTTTCCAACAGACACTGGGAGACAAATTCACCTTTCAGCATGACAATAACCTAAAACACAAGGCCAAATCTACACTGGAGTTGTTTACCAAGACGACATTGAATGTTCCTGAGTGACCTAGTTACAGTTTTGACTTAAATCATCTTGAAAATCTATGGCAGGACTTGAAAATGGCTGTCTAGCAATGATCAACAACCAAATTGGCAGAGCTTGAAGAATGTTAAAAAAAAAAGTGCAAATATTTTACAATCCAGATGTGCAAAGCTCTTAGGTGATTCTAACATGTATTGACTCAGGGGTGTGAATACTTATGTAAATTAGATATTCCTTTATTTCATTTTCAATAAATTAGCTAACATTTCTAAAAACATGTTTTGACTTTGCCATTATGGGGTATTGTGTGTAGATCGGTGAGAAAAATAAATTTTGATTTCAGGCTGTAATGACAAAATGTGGAATAAGTCTGTATGTAGCAGATGTAGATGGACCCAATTTTACAATCCCTCTTCAAAACATTGACGACTTTTGAAGTTCTAAGTTGCCATCCTGCACTCTTTCTCTCCTCAGACTGTGGCATGCGTCCGGCGGTGGGCTCCCAGAGGATTGTGGGTGGCTTGACAGCACGGAGGGGGGAGTGGCCATGGATTGGCAGCCTACAGTATCAACGCTTACACCGCTGTGGAGCCACTCTCATACACTCTAAGTGGCTCCTGACTGCTGCCCACTGCATCAAAGGGTACATTTTACATTTTAGGCATTTAGCAAACGCTCTTATCCAGAGCGACTTACAGTTAGTGAGTGCATAAATTTTTTCATACTGGTCCCCCGTGGGGATCGAACCCACAACCCTGGCGTTGCAAGCACCATGCTCTACCAACTGAGCTACACGGGACTACAGAATACATCACTGTCTGTCAGGGCCTAATATGTATTGTAGACCATTCACATTGTCACATACTGTAGAAGAGTGATTCCTCATGAAACCCAGATAAAAAAATACCATAATTTTGGGGATTTTCATGATTAGTCCTTTGGAGGAAGAATTGTTGACATACATTTGACATTTGTATCTAAAAGCATAATATAGAAATCATTTATCAAAGTTGGCATATTTATTACATTTTGGCCTTACCCAGGCCTCCTTTAAGACTCCATAATGTTTCAACTGTAGATGCTACAAAGCAAACGTTGGTGTCATATAAAGCTTTACCAGTTGCTCTGTAATATGAGTAGTATTTAGATTTCCAAAACTGTTCTCTCTTTACATTAATTTATGAATATTGACAAATAAACATAAATATAGAAAATATACAATTTTAGATTTGGCAAATATCAAAGTTTCAGAGTGAGCTCTGCTAGTTTAAAAGTTATGGCCCATTTTAGTATATAGAGAAATTGGCATAGTAGGCAACGTATCCAATCACAGCCCTCTTTTTACTTGTATCATTGCACATCCAGCAGAGGGCAACCATTTTGAATCAATTTTCACATTCATTCTTGGTAACGCTTACAAATTCAATCATAACTCTAATAAAAGTAGGAGAGATCCCACTTTTGAAACTTTGATATGCCAGTAGTGCAGGGTTCCCAACTGGCGGCCCATGGGCCGAATTTGGTCCCCATAGTTTTCTGAGCAAAAACCTTTTTATTTGTATTTTTTCATTGTTGGACATTAAAATAATTTTGGAAATCTGTTCCCAAGTATTCCCACGCATAATAGAGAGACGTGGTCGTATACAAATATAAGCATGGTTTGAAATGATTGTTTTAGTCAAATATTATATCTGTTTGGGATTCTTGCAGTCAATCTGCAGTCTACAAATTATTTGTAATTATGTTCCGGCTCCCGACCATCCGCTCAAGAAAAAATCCGGCGCGCGGCTGAATCTAGTTGATGATCTCTGCCGTAGAGTATATTATGTTCAACAATATAAAAAATTGCCAAATAAATAAATGGTATTTTCAATATTCATCTTTATACATTTTTATTATTCATAAATTAATGTTTAAAAAAGTTATTGAAATCAAAATACTACTCATATTACAGAGCAAGCATGTGACACCAATGTTTGCTTTGTAGCACCTACAGATGAAACACTATGGAGTCTGGGTAAGGCCAAAATGTCATAAATATGCCAACTTTTATAAATTATTTCTCAATTATGCCTCAATTATGCTTTAGATACAAATGTCAAATATATGTCAACAATCCTTCCTCCAAAGGCCTATTCTATGGATTACACTTCATGATAATCATCAAAATCATAGATTTTTTTGTCTGTGTTTCGTGAGGAATCATTCATAAATTGTTTACTTACACAGGGAGGGACATCAGATTCCCCATAACATATCCTTCCATTTTTTTTTTTAAATAGGGTAAAAGGTGTGCACGTCTGTCTGTCTCTCGTGCACCTCATAACTGTATATAGAACATTCACTTCTACACATAATCCAAAATCCATGCCCTGCCTAAACAGTCAGTTAAATAATCAGCTAATTTTCCTCATCCCGTCACCATAGTGACTCCAACCCTGGCGGCTGGTCAGTGAGTCTGGGTTCAGTGCTGAGGTCCGGGGTGGGAGCTCTGGTTATCCCCATCCAAAGGATCATACTGCACCCAGGCTTCAACAGAACCAACATGGACTATGATGTGGCCCTGCTGGAGCTGGCTGTCCCAGCACCCAGGTCCTACACCATCCAGTTGGTTTGCCTCCCCTCTCCCGTACACAGCTTTCTGAAGAACACTGAGTGCTACATCACTGGCTGGGGCTCCATGAGGGAGGGAGGTGAGAGTAATATCAGATAAAATGTTTCATATGTTCAAATAAGTGTAAGTGATGTGTGTATAAATCTTGCAATGCTAATCATTGACTATGTGACTCATGTTGACATTTGTCTCACCCACAGGTTCGCTGACCAACCTGCTCCAGAAAGCTGATGTGAACATCATTGAGCAGTCAGACTGCCAGCAGGCATACGGCAACAGCCTCACCCCGAGCATGATGTGTGCCGGCTACATGGAGGGGGGCAAAGACACATGCCTGGTAAGAGCTCAGATGACATGAAGTGCAGTGCACACTTTCTCCAATTTGAAGCAACTGAAGTCTTTTAAAACACTTCAGCTCAAGATACGTTAACATTGTTCGGTACTCTTGCCCTTTCTTGAAAGACAAACTTTGAGTGGTTGTTTATCCTAAGACACTGCTGCACTTAAGCAAGTGATGCTTATCTGTACATTGTTTCTCCTTAAAATTGCACCAGCAGTCAGCCTCCTCTTCTCTTAAGCTGCTTATGTAACCAAGTCAGCCGATTTGCATTCCTGGGTCCGGGCATCCAGCGTCTAGCTAGCCAAATGGCACTCTACTCAGCAAAAGAACAAAAATAATCACACAGAGTCACTGTTCCCAAAAGTACATTTATGGTCTGCATGGTGACAAACATTTAAATCGGGTGACTTATTTTTGTTCTTATGCTGTAAATCGACCTTCCCAAGACCAGTGCACATTTTGGATGTGCTTATTGCCTTGTATTTTGAATTCTCTACCACAAAGTTGTCAACCGAGGTCTCTCTCTTTCTGAAACGCAGGGAGATTCTGGTGGCCCCCTGACGTGTCGTGAACTCTCTGGCCAGTGGTTTGTTGCCGGGGTGACCAGCTGGGGACATGGCTGCGGACGGACTGCTTTCCCAGGAGTCTATATGCGGGTCACTGCCATCAGGGAATGGATATCCAACTATCTGCACTTCTGAGGCTATGGAAGAGAGAAGGAATTGAGACCGACAGAGACATCATACAATCCTCAAGGACACAAAATGGGTTTTCTACACTGCAGCCACCACTGGCATTTCTTGTGTGTTACTGGTCAAGGAAGATATGCTGCTGTATGCCACCACTACCACCATCAGTAAACTGCCTGGAGAGTCCAGCTGAAAGTTTCATCTTGGACAATAATGTGGATAACTGTGGTCCAGGGACATTTTACTACAACATACATTATTATTAAATGGGGAAGTGTATTTATTTTAGTATTTGTGGGTCCAAAAATATATTTCATTTTATTGGCATTTACCCAACTGTCATTTGTCTTATTTAGCCAACCACCTTTTCGATGATAGTTCTATAGACCAACCATAACTAAAATGTTTGACAATTATGGGCATAGCTATAGCAGATTCTTGTCAGGAAGTCTTGCATCAGTGGCTAAATCTACACATATTCTAGAAGCTGTTCAGGCACTACATGAAATATGAAAGGCAGCCACTGATTCATCAAGCAACAGAACATTTATTAATTTTTAAGGACAAAAATTGCAATTGGGCAAAAACAAGTCTGGATTTATTTACTTCTGATAAGTGAAAAAGGCCATTCCAGTCAGTCACAAACACACCTCAGTCCTCTGAGCAGCACCCACCTTTCAGCATTCACAGGCCATTTCTTTTTACTTCTCTACACAAGTCAAAGGGCTGAATGAAGTGGAGCTGTTCCCAGAAATCTGACAAACCAAGCACACAAAGCCAGCTGGGTTCAATACAAAGTCTGCACCACAGCAGACCTTGTTAAAACAGACCCACTACTGTGGTGGGCAGATAGAGTGACAACTGGAACGAAAGTCTGACAATACTGTTTTGTTCTCAACATGTATTCTGATATAGGATTATTTGGCTTGGCCGGGATCACAGTTATGAAAACAAAAACTTGTTCCTCAATTCATCCCCATGAGAGAAACTAGGTTTACAGAGGAAAGAGGTGGTAAAATAAACCTTGCCTACCCCTTCAGGGAACTGGTGTTTCACCCACACAAACATATACCCACAGCCTGTGACAAACTGAAGAATGGGTACCTGGCACTGAACTTAAGGGGACGGTTACAGAGTGTAGACTAGTTCAGAGTGATTGAAAAGTGACATTATAATTGCAGAAAATCTTTCCTCATGAACATGATTAATTCATGACTCTTGTAATAAAAATAAACTATAGAAGATATCCATTTGTTAAACTATCCTTTAGTGAAAGGAGAATGTCCACAAGTATTATTATGGCTGCTGTTCACAAGGTCTGCAAACCAAACCTGTCCGTGAGGTGTTGTCACAAAAGTTTGTGTGTCATCGTGCCACACATGCTCTTACAGCCTCGGCCACTACCGTTAACACCTTCCCTGCCATATGTTTTGGCTTTGCTAAGGTGTGGCTGGCAGAGTAGGATGATGTTCATATACGAGCTCTTTCCCTCTGTAGTCTGGAATTGTAGGCACGGGACACAGTATTCCATGCATCCATATATCGATCCATGCACATTGCGATGCATTTCTGCAATAAACACAAAAATATCAGTCAGCATTACCACTGCAAAATATTTGCATTTTCACATTTCCAACATACCGGATGTCTCAAATGACAACGTCACTGATTCAAGTTAGGGGACACAATCAACCACTTCATATCCATATCCCATTATAATAATCTGCAAATAAAATACAGTGGCATACCTGTTCAGAGTTATCCAACGTGCCTCCTGGTTTGCCTATGCATTTCTTGAAGCATTTGTCTGTCATCCTCTACAAAAGAGGAGAAAGATAAGATTTAACCCATCATCACTCACCTCAGGCAACACGACCTCTGACAGGCAATTTAGCTAACTGCATTGATAATAGGCCTGGCCTACATACCAAATATGCCGTTTGTAGTTAACTATATGTTGGAAATATGAATGTAATAAAATATTTACATGGCTTGCTAAGAAAAAACACCATTCATTCATTCATTCATTCATTCATTGACAGGCTAAGATAGCTAGTTAGCTAACCAACGTTAGCCAGCTTGTAGCTATAAGGCCTATTGAACTAGCTAGCTTGCTAACTAGTTGTATGGTGGTAGTAACTTATTGCTTTCACATTAGCTACCTTTAGCTATTTCAACTTGCTACTCAACAATTAGCTAACCAGTCAGCTAGCTGTCAGCTGTCTACAATGAATGTAGCTAGCTAGCATAGCAAATTACCTGCAAGAGCTCTTGCGCATTAGCCACCGCAATCTGGACCTTTACTTGCTCCATGATTGTGCCGGTATCCATTTTACCGGACCCAGCACCTGATGAAAAATCGGAACCAAATCCATCCATATCTATTTGTGATAGTTAATATTAACTTTAATAAATGAAACTGTACCTAGCCAACTACACGTGTAGCTCCTGCAACCACTTCGACAAGTTGCCCTTGAAACGAGATAATTCGACAACGTGACTTCCTGTAATTGTGATTCCAACATGGGAGACGTAGTTTTCAGTTTCCTGGCCAGTTCAGGTCACTAAACGTTGTATATCAAGTATGAACTTTTTGTCTTGATTCATTCATTGAAATATTTTTTTTTAACACATAATCTCCCTGAATTGTGTTTTAGCCCATTTCAACGTTTTTGAGACATATGGGTGTGTGGTGTGCTATATTCCAACACATAGATTTGACTGACACTATGTTATGCATTATGCAACTATTTCACACCATCTTCCAGCATACTGCCAGACTGGTCTACATGTATATGATTGATATATATATATATATATATATATATATATATATATATATGCTTGTTTGAGAGGGAAGCTAAAAATACAGTTTTGCTGATCAGTTGTATGTGGGCCAGAGTATGTGAGTGCAAGGAGCTGAGCATTCCCAATTTGACTGGAGCATGGAGCGAGTCATGGAGTTTGCAAAATATTTTCATAAAGAAATTGATAAACACACAGGTGCAAAATCAAGATGACTTACAAAGATGAGGACCAAGAGCAAGAGAGGAAAAGCGGTGATAGTGTCCACAACTAAAGAATCATTGTGGAATCTGAAAAAAGACACTTATCCCGAAAGCATGATGGTGTACTTACTACCTGCACATGCTAAAATAAAGGAACAAGGTGGGTAGATCACTAAGTGTGTCATTGTAGCAAAGTATTTATAAACTAAAAATCAAAATCGCTTAAAAAGTTGTTTATTTTTGTTCTATTATCTATACAATAGGCCATAATTGATTTTGGCCCAATAGGCCTGGTATATTCCCACTTTCAAGGAGCTTTCCGTTTTGATTGGGTTATTTTGCCTAAAAACCTTTAGGCCTACCTATATTTTTTTTTTTAACAACTCTGCATCTCTGCCCAGCCTGGCAAAAGTGGCCAAAAGGGTGTTTAGCATCCCCAGTGGCTCTGCAAGCGTGGAGGATATTCTCCGCTACTGGCCTGCTCTCCAGGCACCATCGCATGAACCCGAAGCCACAGCTTGGCCAAACTCATGTTTCTAAAAATGAATTCAAAAGGCACTGAGCCTAATAAAGCATTTTTCATTTAATTTGTATTTAATTCTAAGTCACAGCATATATGCGCAGTTTATAGACTATAATGATTTAATATAATTAAATGTTGTTTAAACTGCTGAGCCCTTTATGTCCCTACCAGCCTATTGTGTCGTACTCGCAAATGCTTCACAATGTATTTCTTTGTAGACGATAGCCTTGAAATAATATAAATAATATATCCTAAAATCAATCATTTTCGTTCCCTCTTTCTATAGGCTCCTGACCTATTTTGTGTGTTTATATGCTGTTTAATATGACATGTAGCCTATTTGAAATGATGAGTGCTTCTTACATTCACCTTTCATGTTTATTAAAATACTTTCCATTAAAATCATATGGTTTGGTTCAACACTTCAAAACCAAAAATGGTAGGTCCAGGTAGTAACAGCAATAGAAGGGTTAGGGTTACAAAACAGGGTAACTGTGTGCTTTAGGACCATGCGGACGCCTCTGAGCGGTCGGGTAGGCTGTTTGGAGTGTTTAACCCACTGTCCCCCACACTTCTAAAACCAAAGTTGCACCCCTGTCAAAACCATAATGTATCATGGGTAAATTGTGACTGTTCTACAAATTATAATGAGTAGATATTTATGATGCAAGGTTCTTTGTAGGTCAGTCAGAAATCCCCATGATTAAGTAGAACATAATAAAATGTTCAGCCTTACAGACAAAGACTTGTATATCTGTTATTGAGAGCAATAGTAATGGCCCCTTTTTGTAGGCACTAACTCTGCCATGGTTTCCATGGTTCGTTAGACAAAGCCTATGAGGAAATTAAAGGGAAAATTAGTGAGTGATGAGGTGTTTCAGACATAATTATCCACCATATCAGTATTTTTTTTATTTTTGCGCTGGGAGAGTTCAACCAATGTCGTCATTGATTGATTGAGTCTGCTGTCTGATCTAAAAATGAATGGAGTCATGTTTTGTAGCAATTATTGTGGCCTTTGTGTTTCGCCGTTGCACGATCACGCTAGCAGTGAGTATATATGGTTGTCCTTGTTCAATAGAGACATTGGACTTGTCTCAACGATGTTCCTATCTACCTCGACATTGCAGGATATCTATATAGATAGACTCAATTTCCCTAGCTTTGTAAAGGCTACAGCCTGACAGGAGCCCTACTTCCTTGTCCAGTTGTGTTCGCACACTTCCCACCCTCGAAGGCAGTCTTTTTAAATCAGGGCGCACTAATTTCTACAGGTTCACAGGAGCTACAGTGCCTTCAAGAAGTATTCACACCCCTGTCTTTTTCCACATTTTGTTCTGTTATTTAGTTTTTTTTGTCACTGACCTACACACATTACCCCATATTATCAAAGCAGAATTATGTTTTCCCAAATGTTTACAAATTAATAACAAAATCAATACCTCAATAAGTATTCAACCGCTTTGCAAAACTTTCAAAAAACTAGTTTTCACTTTGTCATTATGGGGTCTTGGGTGTAGATGGGTGAGATTATTATTATTTTTAATCCATTTTGAATTCAGGCTGTAACACAACAAAATGTGGAATAAGTCAAGAGGTATGAAAATAAAAATAAAATGTATGCACTCACTAACTGTAAGTCGCTCTGGATAAGAGCGTCTGCTAAATGACTAAAATGTTAATGTAAATGTATGAATACTTTCTGAATGCACTGTATGTTACGGTGCACTGTCTATCCGAGATGGCTAAATAATTACAATGGCTGCTTCTGGTTAACAGACATGGTTGCCCTGTTCCTAGCTCCCAGCCAACTTTGCACTATTTCGTTTTTTGTTGTTGTTATTTCTTACATTATTTGCTCAGAACGTTTGTTGCATTATTACCTACAGCCAAAATTTACTTTTGGATATTAGATCGGAGGTCACTCACCAGCATTTCGACCAGAAATTAGACTTTCCTGAATTGGAAACTGTATTCTATTCAATGCTCATCCTATATAACTACTGCTCTACACACCTTTTCTATTCATATACTGCCCATAATAATAATCATTAATAATAATTTATAAAATGTCTATAGCGCTTTTCATAAGAATCTCAAATCGCTTCAAAAGCAAAAAAAGAACAAGCAATACATCATCATGAATAGCCTAACTATAGTTAGGTCAACCAATAGAGGCAAAGTCTTTGAGTGCATGCATCCTCTAAAGATGGGGAGGGACAGTTCATGGCTTGATCAGAGGAATGTGGTCAGGGAGATGGTTGATGACAAGTCTAGTGACGATCATGTAGAGGGCTACTCTGGGAACCAGCCTGAGTCATATAGCTACTGGACTTCTTCACAATGTGTAGCACCCACTTGGGTGATGCCTCAGCAGCTCTGGGTGCCAGAAAGCTCACCACACACAGTTCAGAGTAGTAGCCAGTCGTCCTCACTATGAGCCCTCTGCCTCAGCTCTGCATTACATTACTGCATCTCCCATTCCTCTCAAGCTTCAGGTGACTCCTCAATTAATTTGAAGATCAGGAACTAGTAGCCAGGTGAAACAAAAAAGCTGGTACAGTGTCCAAATGCATCATACATTTTTTTAAATAATTGCCAGCTAGCTAGCCAAGCCAAAAAGAGTTGACGTGCCTGTCCATCTGCAAATCTGTGGGTCAAAACCACCAGAAATATGCAATAAAACTCAATGTTATCAAAAACAAAACAGCTGATTAAAAAAAATAAAAAATACACACAATTAAAAGCACATACAAATAATTGTATATGTACAGTACATATTCTGGACTCTGACTGCTCTTTCTAATATTTCTATATATTTCTTAAAGCTACAATATGTAACTTTTTGGATGACCTGACCAAATTCACATAGAAATGAGTTATAGATCTGTCATTCTCATTGAAAGCAAGTCTAAGAAGCAGTAGATCTGTTCAATGTGCAATATTTCTATGCTTCCCGTTCTTAAGTGTCATTTTTGCCTGTTTTACTTTCGGTTTTGTACACCAGGTTCAAACAGCTGAAAATAAAGTTTTTGGGTTATTGAAAATATATTTCACAGCGGTTGCGATGGTACAATGATTCTCTACACTCGGAGTGCTTGTTTTGTCAAATAAACTGAAATTAGGCTATTAGAATTTTAGCAACCAGGAAATGGTGGAGCGATTCCTGCATATTGCACTTTTAATTCCTTTCTTTAATTTTTTTGGGATTTGCAGTGTATTGTTTTGTATTGTTAGGTATTGCTGCATTGTTGGAGCTAGTAACAGAAGAGGAATGTCTGTGCTGCATCAAATTAGATCGCGGACCGTTCTTACTGGAGAGGTCCACTACAGATCGTGTGTCTGTGACAGAACATTGAAGTTTCGACGCACATATGGATAGAGGTGTGCTGGAGACGTTCTTCAGAACCTCCAAGATCAACTGGACCAGCATGGCAAATTAGTTAGTTGTTTTGCTGTCAGTAGCTAGCTAGCAATATAAACTCACTTTTCACACGAGGCAGTGTTGTTCAGTGCAGTATAATTTTGTGATCGATTCAGCCATAACAGGGCTTGCAGGTACCACTGCAAGCCAAGCTAGCCAAGTTGAGCTAGCTAGCTTTGTTTGCTATACCAAAACTGTACTGTAGCCTAACGTTATGGCTAGCTAACGTTAGCAGTATATCTGTTGCCTAGCTAGCCTCAGTGCATCTTATTAGGAGCAAAACTGGATAAATGTTTTGATGATGAAGAGTAAATAAATGACTTTTGCTTTATTAGTCTTTGAGCAACTATACATGTGTGTTTTAGCTAGCTAGCTAACGTGTGTGTCTGTGAGATGTGTAATATTCTGCATCGTGCTGCTACGG